GTCACGAACGTTGCGCTGCGAGCGATTTGCATGTGCGGAGAACGTAATTTGTAATTAGAGTGCAATATAGCGCGAAAGACGAAACGGATTTATTCTCTCCTTGACACAGGGAATATCCCGCGAGCAAAATCAGATTTCGAGATAACGCGAAAATCATGAAGCGTGATAATTAAAGCGCGACAGGAAAAAAGAAGAGAAGCTCAAACGTGATCCTAGATGTGACAGTATATGTTATTTTAACACATACACGTGTTGAATATCAACTCAACACAAAAAATACATATACTGAGATAACACAATATGTTAAATTAACACACGGATATGTTAGAAATCCAACACAAAAATTTGAACAAAGACCGATTTGAGCACAAGTACAAAATATTTTTTACTTTGCGCCAGCTGATTCGAATTCCGTAATCTCGCGTGACACAAAGTTCCACGAATAACGAGATGCGATTAAAGAATCTTCGCTAGATAATGACAACGTGCGATTACGCTAATTCCTTTGTCGCGGATACGTGTCGTTTCAGGGAAGGATCGAGCGGGCGAATTTGAGGCGCGATCAATTCGCGCGGGACACCTCTCGGTGAAACACACCTTCTTCGTCGCGAAACACGAGGTCAACTGTTCGGTTGCATTCCGCGCTGTTAGCGTTGGGGGTTATCTCGGCAGCGATAAAAAAATGCAAACGGCTGAGATATTTTTTCGCGGGAATTAATTTTACGCTAGGCACACACGCTCCCAACGTACGACGACGTCGGTGTGGCGTGTGAGTAGCGCATAGCGCGCGCTCCGGATTTAAAGCAGCTGCTGTTACTTTATCGATTATTCAAGGTGTAGTTGCTTCAAGGCCACCGGTTCAGGCTTCTGAATGAAAGAAACGATGCATCGACTTCATCGATACGCGCTGTATCCCCTTTCGAGCTTGCTATATCGAAACGAAAGGGAATCGGTACTTTGTGCCGGCGGCGTCGCGGAGTGCCGGAAAAATTGCTCGCGCGCGTGAAGCTCTGCAGCTCTTTGCGCTCGTTAAACGAACGAATTAAACAATTTTATCAGTCGGATGTTTTAAGCAATTCAGTATTTTCAGTATGTTATGCGAGCGATGTTATTGTCCTGCATAGTCAAAATGTTTTACACGGAGGAGAATAATATTACTGTTGTAACGTTATCATCGTTGCGACCGTACATTCGATACGATAAAATTTAGCCGGCACAATCGAATTAGCGAATTATCCGTAATTAGAGTGGAAACAGTTTTGTTGCCGGGATAGAACAATTTTGCCGAGAGAAGACAGAATTTTCCTACATTTAATAATTTGTTTTTAGCAGCAAAATAATTTATAGATTCGGCAAAATAAATATATTTAACGAATGGCAATCGCTCTTAACAAGTCGTTTTATTGTCCACATAATAACCGATGGATTTTGCTGCGACATAAAATTTGCCGGGCCAGAAAGTAATTTTTCTCCGTGTATTTATCTCTAGCAGGAAGGTCAACGGACGTTGATCCGCAAAATGGCGAGTAATCGTGACACGATTCTCCTCTGAGCGCAATCCTCGAATATATAATTTGACAATGCGCGTTGATTAATCGAAGTGATCGCGCTACGGGAATCGCGTTTCTCCTTGTGGCGAAGCGATATGTTGCCCGATACTTTCACGGGACGATGGAAACGATGGGCTATTCGATACGGATACCGATGAGAGCGGAAAGTGCCGATATCGTGTCGACGCGTGCATCATGAATCGCACAAGAACGCGGCAACCAGTGTGCGCCCCGGGTCACGGAGATCGATGCATTATGCAACAAGTAGTCAATTGCCACCGGGGCGTTATGCTTTCGGCGAGGAAATTCCGCGAATATCGGCGAAATTGCATAGGACATCTCGGCCGATCGCCTTGATGATGCGTGTCTCTCTTTCTCCCCACGCGTCCTTGCTCCTAACAATGTCGAATCGCGCGATAGACTTATCGTTATGTTTATTGTCCGAGATAAATTCATCGAGATACAACCAGATGAGAGAGAAGGTCTTTCTGACAATAGACAAGAGAATATAAACAAGCGGCTGCAGCTGTTAGAGAGCTTAGTTATAGGTTACGCGGAATGCTGTTTGTTCAATTAAAGCCGAACGTTATGGGCAACTAACGAGAGCATTTTTCAGTTGCAGTCCTCCATGTGCGATGTATATTGGAGTGGACACACACACTTTGTCGAATCAATATATTTCCCACTCTCCATACCCGGTGAAAAGGATTCTTTTGGATTTGATAAAACTCCTTTAATTGAAACCAATTTGTCTTTTGGAATGAAGCAAACAAATGTTTGATTCAACAAACAGGATCATTTGCTTGGTATCTCAAACAAGATGTCTCATCGCGTCAAATAATATATTTCTTTTATAATTTCACTTAAGCATTACAATGGTTGTCACAAACAATAAATTATTTGGAAAAAGTAACACTGTTAGAAAATATTAAAGAACTTCCTGGTTTCAGTAAAAAACAATGTAATAGATAATGAAATAAAATGTTGTCTAATAAAAACAAATATTATTCCCTTTAAATGATACTGTTTTTTCTATCACACAACATGATTTACTCTCGGGGGAAGACATTTTCATTACAAAGAAAAATTATATTTGATATTAAATTATGTTGTTTATATTAAACAAATCCATATTGAACGAATATATATACCAAATCCAACGAAACCTTTTTTTTCTGTCTTTCTCAGTAGACGCGCATTCCAGCTGTAATACGAGTTCGTTTGAATTGTGAGATTGATTTTCTCTGGTTTTCAGAAAAAAAAGTAAATCGAAGAAGTGAATCAGCCCGCCACTGTGTTCGAGCAGTTGCGATTGTCACAATGATGATATCTAATGTAGAGCGCGTAGCTTGGGGATACTCCGTGCGTGAGTACAGTACAGTCAGCTAACACACTCGTGTTAACGTCACGGGAGATATAGATGCGTATCGCTGAGACAAAGGACTCTAAGAGAAAAGAAGAGAAAAAATAAATCTATCTTCCTACATTGAATTATTACGATCGAGCATTTCCCACGTGCCGTACCGAACATATGTAACAATGCGAAACCCATTTGTGACATTATTAGGTACGCGTTTTAGAGAATCCGGCGAAAATGTCAGGGACATCACTCTTGATAAATATTTATAAGCCCGATTACACTGTTTATAAACGTCTCTATAGAATTCCGATGGCCGAATCAACCCGATGGTTGAATGGAAACAATATCATCGCGAATGATATCGCGCGCGTTAACTTACTTTCATCGGCGAAAGTGCCTTAAATGTGGCTCCTCAGCTGATCAGGTGGTTTCTTAAGCTAAGGAAGCCTTTATCAATAAAAGTGATCTTTAATCTCTCGGGGGCAAAGAGCAATTGCGGAAAATTTCGCTGCACTTCAAGGCGGTTCGGATACTTTCTCCCGATACAGAACGATTCGATTCGCAAGCGACGGCCCAATGAGAGAACTCGATTTCGAAAAATGAGCCCTCTCATTGGGCCATCGGCTGCATTCCGAAGTGCATCAAGACAGACTTATTCAAACCGTATGAAAACTCCGTGTACGTATTTCAGGACAAAGCACCGAGATGCTATACGCGTAAGAGAAAAAAGAACGGATTGTGTAAAGACTCCAACCGCGAACTATAACTCCGGATGAGTTGCGGGGGCTCAGTTTCAAAGACAAAAGTCAAAGTAGGGCACTTCTGAGGAAAAACTCACCGTTCGGCAGCGTAACGAGCGCGCGCCGTCGGCTCAAGGCCGACTCGAAATCCGTTACTGATTTACACGCCATGAGCGATCGGCGACCTCGGATAGCAGGGACAACGCGTGTCGCCCGGTATGCGAGGCACCCTTCGCCGTAACGGGCACTTGTTAACCCGCGTCCTAACCTCAAATCCCTGCCGTCGCGACGGAGACACACATGCTGTGCATGCAAGTCGCAAAGAGCGAAGTGAAAGGAACAAGGACATACACACGTACTCACCCGTGCGTAGTCGCGCGTAGCCCGCATTGACTATGCCGTCACACGCATAGTGTCGCCAGCTCGTCAGCATTTCACGGCGTCGGAGGATGAACCTAACGGTGCGCGAACTCCACGGGGGAAACGTCTGGCTGGCACGCACCGCGCGTACGCGCGACGCACGTACGCGCGCTCTATCGCCTCCTTTCCCTCTTTCTTTTTTCCTCACAGGCGCGCGCGCCGCGAACGCGACGCGCTTGGCCGCATGGGGAGGTACGCCCGATTGACGACAACGACGGTGAGGGAATAACGCCGACGACGTCGATGTTGACGGCGGGACGGTCCGGTTCAAATCGCGCCGGTTCGACCGCGCGACGCGCGCGATTTCGGACGCGATTCGCGGCCAACTGCGAGCGACCGAGCGCGCGCTCAGGCCCGCGCCGCTCCTCGTGTAGGCGAGTTATAGTGCTCGCGGCCGCGAGAGAGTGCACTTTAAAGACTAAGGCGATTTACGGGCGGTCTACGCACGAGCTAGCGCGAGGCATCTATTATTAACTTCTCGCGAGCCATAGGCGGGAAACACCGCCTGTTCGCGTTGACGAGCCGCGCGGAAAGCGCGGACTGCCGCCAGGTGGCGACATCGCTCGACGAGCCGCGATGGGTGCTGCAGTCTCCGTGCGCTCGGCGTCGCGAGATTGGCTGCGTCGCTTAAAGCGTAAATAAGGTTTACTCGAACGAACAGCGAGCAGTTTCTCGTCGGATCGTACGGAGGAACTTTCTTCGGGAAATGCCGCGCGAGTACTATGGCGGGAATTGTATTCCCGAAAATGGCGGCTCGTGATTGGATCGCGTCGAGGGAGCGCGATTGGCTGACGTCGACGAGGCGCGATTGGTCGAGTCGCGTCGAAGCAGCGCGCTCTCACAACGCGCGTCACAACCCGCAAAACCTGTTTGTTTTTGTCTCCTTGTCCCCGATCGGACGTACGAATTCGCGTGAAAAAACGGCCGAGATATTCCGCACGTCTCTGCACTTTCTACTACGATTTCGTCGCGTCTCATTCGTTCTCGTCGAGCGTGGCGTCTCGTCGTCGATGTTGTCTCAGAGATGCAGAAAGTGCAGCTGCGGTACGAACAGATGCGCGAAATGGTGCAGCATTTAAAAATGGCCGCAGCTTCGTCGGAGTATCGGTAGATCGGCCGTCGTAAAATCGTGCGACCGATATACATACGTACGAGTCGTTCGTCGTAATCATCGCGGCGTACACGTCAATGGCCTGTCTTATTTATAGTGACCCATCCGCTTGACCGCGACCTGCCAAGTATTTTGACGTAAGAGACCGCATCGCCGTGATATGCGCGCTGCGTAGGAGATATCGCATTTCGCGTTGGATCTCTCTCACAGTCCCCCGTCGCTGTCAAAAACCCCGCGTAGGATCGCTCGTTCATCGCGGCACAGTGCCTTCTTGCGTCGTCATCGTCGTCGTCGCCCAGGTAAATAAGACGCAGTCAATGAACAAACGCAACGGTCGTTGCGTGTGAGGTTAGTACGCGGTAACCCAGTGATACTCGTTTGAATGTGTGTAGTTTAACGCAGTCGACGGTGAAAGAGCGAGCTCGCGAGGAAAGCGGCAATGTCGCCCGGTATTAACGACGGCCCCCGTAACACGGGCACCCTGCCGAAAAGCAATCGGAGGAGCGATCGGAACCGAGAACGGTCCGCTGCTAATCAACAGATCGCGAACCGCTCGGCTTATCACGGCCAGCCACAGCATTTTAACAATTTGGTAAACCCACCAAGAATTAATTTCCTTTTTTCTCCTTACCTCCCGCCCTCTCTCTCTCTCTCTCTCTCTCTGTCTTCCTTTCCATAATTTAATAAATAAATCACTGAGGATGCATAAAGCTGTTGAAAGAAAATTTGAAATGTATTTTGTCATTATTTAGCATTTGTAATTAAAAAAGATTATCTGATGTCTTAAACATTATTAAAAATCATTGTTTGGTGGGTCTACATCTCTCTAGTGTGGTGGGACAGAGTCACAATTCTAGATATTTAAAAGATTTTGACACAATAGTATTGGAAGCAACGTTCTTGTCTGAAAAGAGAAAAAGTTTGACGAGACAACTTATATAAAATAGTGGCAGTCTTGTTTTTTATATAGAATTGATCAACAAACCATATGATAGAAAAATGGGTCGTTTGTAAATGTAGCTATTTGTGTAAAAATGGTATTAGGTTAAAGAATGTATTCATTCAAGGATAATAATATAATATTCAATGATTTAGATGTAAAATGGACTTTTACTTTTTAAAATATAATTTGCAGCAAAACCAAATGTTTTTTTTAGTGGAAATAACTATTCCCTGATCTTCTTTGTTCAGAAATAAAATTAGAGGATATTTATTGCATGTATTTTGTATATTTTAAATATTTGACTTGAAAAATATTTGGTGATTTATGAAAACATTCGGTAGGTTCTACAAATAGACTAGACTTAACTGAGATTTTACAGACTTATAAGGTTACATATGAAGCATCTCTTGAATTGACATGACCTAGATATGAAATATTTTTATATAAAGATAAAAATAGATATTTTTATATGACTTTTTAAATGATTTTTTAACCATTTTTACTAGTCCAGTAATAATGTATTTCATCATTTTTTAAATCTCAAAATCGTCTTGGTCTAGAAATAAAATACCACATGAAAATAGGTTTTTTGTGCAATTTTTGGGGAGTTTTGGTTGGCATTTGCTTGTTTTTTAAATCTTTTGATTTTTGATGTGTTAAAATTTTTGGTTACTGTGAAGTCTCAAGAAATGGTTGGGTTTCCATGACGTGAAAGTGATGTCTCTTTAGTTTTTAAGAACTTTTATGTGCTTTTGTGACTTTTGTATAATTTTTGAGAAGTTTTTGAATTTGGGAGCATAGGAAGATAACAATTCATTGATTTTGAAGATGAGAGATTTTTTTATTTTTCAAAAGTTTTATGTAATTTTAAGGGATTTTTCACATGAAAATCGATCTCCCGATGCTCCCGGTCCAGAAGTAACATTTCGATAGCTACTGGTATGTATTCTTAGAGTAAGAAACACCCCACTATTCTATAATCTATTAATAGACCGAATACGACACTGCTGAGAGAGCAGCTAATAGCAACGTATTTGTCAGTAGGTTCTAGATACTCTGTGCCACCAAATATCTTTTAATTGTGCTAAATTAAAATTATCTTTTATTTTATATCTTCATTACAATTACTTATATAACTTCAATATACGTGTATTTTTCACAAATATTAAAAAGATACAGAATTCTATCATATAATTATTCTAAGTGACGTTTAAGACATCAGCTAATATTTCTCTGATTGCAAACGGTGAATAATCACAAGATACATTTTTACAAAATTTATTTTATGCTTTCGTGTTTACAAAAATACCTCACCGAGTCAAATTCGTTGTACTAGTTTCATTTGGACTGGCAAGCAGTGAGCGAGCGCGAACGTGAATCATCGAGAGCAGCGAAGAACAGTAATACTAGATCAGCTACTTCTGTGCCCTCGTACTTTTATCCAGACTTATCTGACCTTGGTATGCATATCTGTTTGACGTTATCTACGTATCTTCATCATGTCAAATATTATTTCTTTCCACTAATTCATAATTCTACTACAGTGTCACATAGTACAGCAAGACAGTACAATTACAGCACAGAAGAGTGCTCGTGGCCAAAAATGGTTCCACCCGTTGATCCTAGAACTCAGTCGCCACCGCGATTACAGGCGGCAAAGCCTTCCAATGTGAATAAGATGGTACCGCGACTTTTATCGACTGTATTTTAGTGTCTTTTATACCTGATTTTTATGATTCATGTTAATTACATTTCAATATGTATGGTAATTTTGTGATTTTATTATTATACTTTAAAGCCCGACAGAAACCAAGTAGAGAGTCGTTTAAACCAGATCAGGGAGTATATCAAAGTCACCGCAACAATGATGGATTCTCTTAGCCAATCCTCTGATCCTGTGAGTAATATCACTCACTCACTCACACCACGCACAATAGCAATGCGAATTTAATGTCTAGAAGTACTTCATATCCGTAATGTTTGCTGTAACAAACATTTTGCAGCGTGCACAGGCTCAGAACGAGAAATTAGCTAGAATGGTGGAGGATCTTCATGACAGTGAGAGGAAGCTGTCCAAACTATTAGAGCAGTACCATAATCACGGAATTTTCGACGAGGTGGCTGGTGTTATTTAATGATTAATCGAAATATTGGGAACTAAAATGTCATTGTACAATACTCAATGTTGTTTTTACAGAATAGTGAAAACGGAAGGGAGGATGTGGACGAACGTGGCGATGCCAGCAGAGAAGTACAGCTGCGAAGAAATATGGAAGATTATCAGAGCAAACTCGCTCAATTGCAGGAGCACCAGGCTAGTCTGGTGGGGATGCAGATGCGCTTCAGAGAAAGGCTGAACGAAGCGCGCCAAGCGCAGCAGATGCTTCTGCAGCAGGAGAATCAGAACACATCCAACTCCGCCACGTGGGAAGGTAACCGCACGTCTCTGCCGGGTCCCGCCAACGTGGAGCAACTGGAGTCGGAAACAGCGGCGCTTCGGGGGAAGTTGGCGCAACTTCAGACGAAGAAGAAGCACATGGATCACCTGGTGGCGGAGTTGCAGGCCATAGACTCATTCGAGAGAGGCAGTTGCGTTAGTGTCTTATCCTTTCTTTGTTGCGTCACTGCGGCTAGTCGTCGTTACTAAGATGAATTCCATTGACTCTTCAGAGTTCCGAGGGTTCGCGGAACACGATTAGGGACAAAACCGCGGAACTGGAGGCGATGAAAGCGCAGCTTGCGCACATAAAAGCTCTGATGGAGGACAGCACGAGAATTCGCGATTCCATAGACTCCACTTCCGAGCTCGAGCAGGATGTTGATGTCAACAGCGAGGGTGCCGCCGACATAGAAATCACCGAGGATGAAAATGCGGCGAACATTTCGTTCGAACGTCAAAGCGACAGCGACGACACTGGCCACGGCCAGAAGATCCGTAATTCCGGCGAAAGGCCTACAATTGAAGACGTACAGGTAAGCGTTACGATCGAGTATCGTGATTACAATACTGCACGAAGTTTGCGTTACTCTTGTCCTTTTCTTCCAGGCCATGACGCGGGAACTTAAGGAACAATCGATTTTGCTCCAAGCCACGCGAGCCGAATTGCAACGTTTGAAACAACCATCGCTGTCTACGACCATCCATTCTGCGTCTTCGTCTTCCTTCCCATCCATAACCCCGCCCCCGGCGCTCACCCCGTTAAGCTTGAACGAGAAGAAGCAGAGTAATAACGTTAGTACAGAGACTCAGCAAGCAAAGAGGCGTCAACTGGAAGATCTTATAAAAAAGGTCCGTATTTCTCTTCCATGTCCCTTGCATAATTATGTGGGTTTTATTTATTTCCTTGTCAACGAACAGGAACAAGCACAACCCTCTAACGTGAACCGAGATGTCCAGGGACCGGACCTCAATAGTCAGAGAAGTTCTGGTTCTCAAGTTAGTCATACTAGCACACCTGCAAATGTTTGGCCACCTTCAACTGTCATCGGTAAGTCTCATTGAGATTTATATTGGTTGCATGAGATATTGTTTCATTCCATTAATTAATGTCATTAACTAAATGAAGTAACATCGAACAAAGCATATTTATCTTGCGTTCCGTTGCAGGAGGTTCCAACGAGCAAAGCGTCGACGGCGTGTCTACGTCGGAAAATTTATTAGACGTTGGTCCACAGGCCGCTGCTATCGAGAATGGGTTTCCTGCGAACTGGTGGAGCTGTCCTTTACCACCTGTGAATCAGGTGCAACATGGTAAAGTATCAGCTTGGACGATAATTCTTCAGAGATTAAGGAAGCATCGGGTGATTAATGCTTTTCCCTGCAGCCTCCGCCGAGTATTACCGGCAACTGATATTGGGCTCGCAAGCTCAACAGCTTCAAATGATGAATACAACGATACATCAGTGTTGTCACCTCTTGTGGGCGCAGCAGCGTGAGCTGCAATCCATGCGCGCGGCTATCACTCAGCTGCAGTTGCAGCTTAGGCAAAATCAGGCGCCGCAGCGTGCCAACAATGCTGAAAATCAGGAGGAGTACTCCAATCTGAGCCGCAATGCGCACCATCTCGGTGACACGCTGGACGCGACTTTGCCTCCCAGCTCGTCCTTACCGAACCTCGTGTCACTGCCAAATTCTTCAGCAGCGCCCTCGCATACTCCTGTAGTCACCCCTAACCCGCAACAACAACAGCAGCAGCAATTGAACAATCAAGTACCTCCTGGTAATAGAGCGAACAACTACTGGGACAATTTTCGCAGGTAATTACTCACGAATCGACGAATATATACGTGTCTCGTCACTATTTTTGACTTGTTAAGAAAAACTAATTTCAATATTCGTATATATTTTAAAATTTAAGTTGTGGAGATAATATCTCATTGTGTATCACTTTACGTTAAACCGTTTAATCGGTATATATACATAAAATATATAGTTTTCTGAAAATCTTTCTGATTTTTATTGCATCTAATTTCGAAGAAAATTACTTTTTATAATTGGAAGGAAGAGATGAAGATATAGGATATTAACTGGATTTTAGAAACAATTACTGAATCCGGACGAAAATCATCTAGCGAGAAATCATTTGATATTCCGAAATGTTCACGAATATCCTATATTTGTCTATGGTACTTTTCGTAGTAATCAGATCGGTCGTCATTGTTTTTCATTTTTCTGTAAACCCAAATGTATTACGTTACGTTTAGTAATAAACATCATGATCTGTCCTTCTCTTTTTCTGTGTCTTATACTTCCGACTCATCACTACCCTTGTTTAAGATCGTATTTAAGCACGTATTTAGGCTCGTATATATAGCTCACAATTCAGTTACATAATCCTGTGGTTAATACAAATGAAACTAAGTAAGGAACATTTATTGGTAGGTAATACACGGGTATGTAAGCGGATTTTCGGAGATTGAATGGAACACATCGTCAAACCTAAATTTTCCCACAGCTAATATTAATGCATGCAGTAACAATAAGTGTTGTATATCACTGATACTTTTTGTTTGCAGTTCATTAAACGACGTTCCCCTTCCTACCATTTTAATTTCAAATTTCGTAACGAAATTGTCTTATATATTACAATAATTGGTTTTGGCATGATTTGAATTTTCACATAAACTCACAAACGTTCACTTTCTTTCGCTCTAATTGTGTCTTCTTATTTCCAGCTATTCTCGACAAAATCTCCTCTCAGGAAACGTAAAAACAGTGACCGATGCTCCAACGGCTATAGCGAATTCGGCATCTTCTGCAAACACGATCGGTGCAAGCGGAAGCAGCGTCAACAGTTCACTGATGTATGTAGCGTGAATATAATATGAATGAATCAATAATTGGCACACGTTCTTTGTATAATAAAGTTCTGTTTGATCTTTAAGGAAAGACAAACGGAACCGAGAACAACAACAAGGAAGTGACAACTTGCCCATACCGTTAATCGGCGCAGAAGCGCAATATTCATTAAACTTACAATTAACGTCTAATCTGCAACAACAAGACAGGGAAAACACTACTATTCGCAGTAATATTATAGCAAATGAAGTGTCTCAGCAAGTCGACAACCTTTGGGAAGAAGCTCACGGTTCTTTCCGATTACCGTCTACGACGAACGATGATAATTTCCTTCATAATCTAAGGTTTGAGAATCTATTTCTTTAGAATTTATTATAATATAAAGAATCATATTTAATATTGATAAGAAAAATCAGTGATTCGGATTCTTCTTAATAATATATTGTTTTTACCATTTAAAGTTCAGAGATGAAAGAAGCACTCAGTTCGCTCATCGCGGTAAATAGAAGACGACCCGATTATTTAATAATTATTCTGAGGGAAATTAAGGCCATTAGCGAAGACCACAGGTTGCGGCCACAGTTATTACGATCACTACGCGCTCTGCAAGACACGCAGACATTGATGAATAATCCATTGGTTAGTACACAGTTCACAATTACTGTTCCCGAACATGTGTATGAATTCGTAATATTGAATTATGGAACAACCAACTAAAATTTTATGTAGAACGAAGTGACTGATTTAACTCCAAGTGAAAGTTGTCAGTCTAGCGATGAGGACTCGGACGTTGGTGCAATATTAGGCTTCGGTCTGGAGAACCAATCGTCTGCGACTGAGTTGGTTACAACATCTCATGTCATAGACACTGCCTCCTCGCCAGCATCACAAGTACCGTTGATAGACCACTTAGATATATCGGTAAACAATTACATGAAATGCAACTGAAGACAAATCAACACGTCAAAATAAAACGTTGCAAATACGAACAGACTACACTATATGAGTGAAACGAAATGTCATCGTGAAAATTGTAAGATTAATCTTAGCTCACCACATTCCGGTCCAATGGACTGCTGAATATTTTTCGGTTTTCTAGCTTTTACGTAGCCTGTTTTTTTTTTCTTCAAGTATCAGATGTCAACGAACGAAAATTTTTGTTAAATCGCATTTACAGGATTATTTGGAAAATTTGCTCGAAAATACACTTTTTCTTATAATAAAAAATTTAATTTAAATCCAAATCATTTTCTTGACCTTATATAACCATCTTATTTAGATTATATTTCTACTTCCCACATTACAAATTTAAAAATATGAATTAGAATGAAAATGACAAGACGACAAAAGTCGAACGGTCTCACGGACCGGAGTGTAGCGGATTAAAGATTCGAAAATAAGTGCGGCTAACTATGATTAATGCTGCGTACTTAAAATTTTACTGACCCGCCGACTCGTTTGTATTTTAACGCTTTAAATGAAGAATTGTCTACCTAAATTATTTATTTATCGTTGTTAGGGAACATTTTCGCTCGACTGTGCCAGTGCTCTCCCTTCCACTTCTAACGGTAAACCCGGCTACAATGAAGACTTGGCAGAAGCCGATCAATCGAGACCGGAATCTTCGGGAAATCAAAAAGTATCGCTCTCATTTTTTTTTTCAATTTCTCACGTCCGCATAGGTAGGGCACAAATCAATATTACATGTAATTATGTGTATTTTTTAGCCTTCTACCATCGACATGGATAACGAAGAGGGACAAGAGGAAGCAGCATCTTGTCCTATTACCGCGGAAGCGATTACCCCCGATCTCGAAAGTCTTGCCGCTAAAACTGAAGACGAAAGAGCAGAAGATATCGAGCTCGAAAAATTTTATTACTAGATTACATCATAAGCCGTGATGTTATTTATACGAATGACTTGTAGTTATTTTAAGCATAGTGGAAAGGAGATGGATATATCAGGTCTTGATCTCTCTGACAAGATGTGTTGGCTTACTACTGCTTCCGATTTCCCAAGAGTATCGACTAATAAATAATTCAAGTCTGATACAATAATAAATGCTGTTGAAAAGTTAAAAATTTGCGATTCAAATATGCATAATATTCCTTGTAATAAAAAAAAAAAATATTGCATAGAATTTATAATAAGTGTTTAACTGAAGATTTACGTTACAAATTTGTCTAGAGACTAAAATAGATTTGGTATAACAATTTATAGCTATTACATATTGTAACTTATTACGATTTATAAAACTCGCTGTGTATTTCGACATAAAATACGTGTTAATATTCATTATCTTCGGACACGCATAAATACGAACTGTTTTGTTTTACGAAAACTTTAAGTTTTCTCGTTTTTTTTTCTATTTATTATTTTTCTGAAAGTTAACAATTAATGTAATAAGATAAGTTTATGTTGCCAAACTTAGAAAAGTATTTATTGTGTCCGGCATATAAAACTATAATACATAACAAAAAAGTTATAGCTGCTGTATCATAATATATTACAGTTTACAAAGAACTTTCTGTGTCGGCGCTTCGAGATTTACAAAATGTGTCTTAAGATTTATTATAAATCTCCACATGTGAATCTCTGAAATGCTGTTTTACAAAAGTAATGTACATTTCCTTTTTATTCTCTCATTTTATACATCTATTTATGTATCATTAATGTGTACTACACAATAAAATTTTCTAGTATAACAAATATAAATTTTGTCCAAAATATCAAATTGACAACTCAGATATTTGACTCAGAACTCTGTCTCGATATGGTCCAACGATTGAATCCGCTGATGATGGTATATACTGCATCCATGTGTCTCAAATAACATTCTCTCGTACTCCGTATCGTTTCTATTTGACTTAGAATTGTTATTTGACGAAATATATTTACAACCTGGGTCATCTGTTGAACTAGATTTATCAGCTGGCAAGAAATAGGATTGATAATGGCCAGTGATATTTAAACATATCGACGATGACAGGTTGTGCATCTGGTCCATTCCGCAAGTCCTCGTGTTTTCCGTTTCGCGGTGAATGTGGCCGTTACCTGTTTCTAGAAGGGAGTAAATTTATTATGAACTGATTTTGCCAATTATTCCCTATATCATCGATTTGGTTAACAGATGGTAGCTTAAGAGTAAAAAAAATTATCTAACTTACTATAAAGTATCAGTAATTTCTGAAAAACTATTAGCATCCATACTTCCCGTTACATACCATTTATCTGTAATATGAAGGTCGCAGGATGCCTCAAGCTTCAAAATAAATTTAATGTCAGGATCGGATGCGAGTCTCTGTGGTCACAGATGTTAATGTACAAACCCATAGCAAAAAAATCGACCGTTTATATGCCTGAGTATCAATATTTGCTCGTAAAGATTCATACATGTTTTATTGGTATTATAATATTAATTATAGAATGTTATAATATAATATATAATAATACGTAATATATTATTATATATCATAATATTAATAATTAATAAAACAATCAATTTCCTCGCTAGTACGAAAGTAGTATCTATTGTTTACGGAAAAAACGAGAGTCTGCTTATGCATCCTGCATGCATATAAAAGCAAGGCAATGGTAAAAAGTAAGCAGGTAACAATTCTCAAAAGGAGAAAGGGTTCTTCAAATTCTTATTGTCGCGATTTTGAGAGAGTACATGTGAGTAGAAGTGATAATAGGTTTTACCGATTTCACGTACATTTTCCGAAAGTATCAAATTTTTGCAATATATATATATATATTTTTTTTGTTAACTCAATACAAATTTACGGAGTTCTAGCAACTTAAATGAGACAAACTCTGGCGAGCAACTGCAGAGAGTGCAAACGTCGGTTGTTGCCATCACATCATTTATTAATAAAAATGCGTAAATATTTTAATAAATACTTAAAAGTGTAATCACATTCCGATAGAAAAAGTTTGATTATCGCCTCACTTAAATATCTTCCGACAGAAATAATTCCTGAAAGGCTCGGTTATTTTTCAGCGCTCGTCTACTCATATATACCTCTTTAATTATTCCCCGCGTAAACAGAAGGAATGTCGCAGCGGCCTCTGTGAAGTTTCTCGATACACGTACAAAATATGAATCAACGAGCGGGAAAGGAAATCGCCCGGTTTTTCGCGCGACACGCAGCGGCGGATTCTCCGCGTTCGCGGAAGGAAAACGACGAGCGCGCATCGCTCTCTCTCTCTCTCTCTCTGTTAATTTCCCCTCCTAGTTCTACATTTCCCAATTCTCTCTCCTACCTCGTCGAAGCCTTTTCACTGCTGCTGTGTCGTACAGCTCACATTGCCCGGGTCGCTTGTGATTCTTGCGAAACGGTTGTGGGACGTCGACGTCCATCCGTTCCTGTCGCACTTCGAGCGGAACGTTTCCCAGGCTGTCGCGGGCGCCCATCGCGGACGGTAACCTTCCTGTAACTACTGGGAGCAGTTGGGAATAAAACTAGTGAATATCCGACGAGGTTCTCTACCGAAAATCTCGCTCGGAGAGATCTTTCAGATCCCTCGATCCTTACCTGTTCTCACTCCCACAGGTGCAACGTGGTCGTGATAATAGCCCGTGTGACCGACGAAAGGCGATCGTTCGGCATTAAAGCAGCCGTGCCGCGAATTCTCGGTCACAGAGCGCGATGTGTGTGCCGTTGCGAAGACACGATGCGTGCCGTCGCTCGGCACGCCGAACGGAAAGGCGGACGGCTCATCGTACGTCGGGAACATAATATTTACCGGACCGTCACCATCTGTCGCGTATCGCCGATCATACATCACTACACTGACGGTGCACTTTGTCGTTGCGTTACCACCGTACGTGTACGAGCGAGCGCGCTACGCACAACCACGTGAGACCAAGAACGCGAAACAACTGGACGCACGACGTCGACACCTTCACGGAAGCACGACGAATGTGCACTGACCATAGGTAGCATCACGGTATATGCACCGAAACAATTCCATTGGTACCTCTCTGACCAATAGACGGTGGAATAAGATGCTCTCTTTCTCTCTCTCTCTCTCTCTCTTTCTTTCTCTTTCTAATCAATGGACAGTAGAATCAAGCGCTTTTTTTTTAACCAATGTTAAGGGATATGCGCATGTGCAAAACAGTGGGAGTTATACGGCAGTGCCCTCTGAACTTCTTTCTCACTTTTTCATTCATTTACTCTCTCTTTCTCTCTCTGTCTTCCTCTCTGACTCATTATTGTATACATTTAGCACAGTGAAACATAACGTACTTCCGATCATTGGTTAAAAAAAGCACTTCACCGTCTCTTTTCTTTTTTCCTTTATTATTTATTTATTTCGCGTGTAAGCATTCTTAGCCAATAGAAAAATTTGATTCTGTTATGAGAAACGGATAAAATTCAATGAGTCGTAAATTCGGTAAAAAATGCCAATAATGGAATAGTTCGACAAATATTGCGCCGTTTGAGGAGATCTTTTGTTTTCAGTAGGCTGGGCCAGCTATTACTTATAAAACTAACTGTACTACATGGGTAATCTATAAATGCAAGGTCGTTTATGGGATGTTATACCTGAGCGAGCACACTGACAAAGGCAAAGGTACAAAACAATCAATTGTCCTTGAAAATAAATAGTTCCTTTGGTACCTGAGAAAGGGATCTGTTTTCTTTTCCCCCCCATCTTTATTTAGGTTTTCTATTCACCCAGGTTTCTTGGTTGTAGGCTTAACTAATGTACCATAAATATGTACTACACAATAAAATGTTGTATATAAATGTAAATGCAGTAAGAAATATTTCACTCAAAATTCTTGTCTCAATACGGTCTAACAATTGAGTGATGATATATTGTGATATATCGTGATGATATATTGCGTTGAGAGAGATTATATAATATTAATTATAACACGATGATATTATAATATAATAAAATAATATTATATTGCACACACACTTGTATGTTAATTACACGAAAAGCGCAAACACAAGTGTAACTTTTTCGCAAATGATTATTGTAAAATGTTATAACTGACGTTCATCCATGACGTGTAACGCAAGTAGTTGTAACATCGAAAAAATGCGTAAAACATGAAATTTGGCTCGAGAATCGGTTAAACGGAATATAAACTAAGAGATATTTAAAGATAACTCTTTCATCATCCCGCCGATTTCCCTTGATCGAAGTAGAAGTTAGTGCGTCGGCGCGCTGTCAGAAGTGCCGTTCGCAACAACGGTGACGACATTAAGCTTTATTCGCGCGTGATCTCGGAGTGTGCGACTCCATTTTGAATTTTCTTGTGCGACCAGGCGATTCCCGAACGAATTCAGTCGTCAGTAGCAGTGGGCCACCTTCAGAAATGCTCTCGAAATATGTCAGGAGGGTATATCCTTTTAAGATCGACATCGTTAAGTGCGGTGTACACAAATGCTCGACAATTTCAGACGTGACGTCGAAAGAGGCGGTTGGAAAGCGTATGAAAGTACAGGTTAGATGCGCTCCATTACGAGACTTTTTGTGTCCTGGACGATGCGGGAGCCCAAAAGACGCTTAATAGATGTCCGGAAGAGACTCGAGGCATTCGACGATGTCTCTCGGATATCCTCGGCGTCGTTTGGGCGACTGTGATATGTGGAATCTTGCATATTAATCGATATTACAAAAGAAAAAAAAAGAAAAACTCGACTTCCCCCCGACTTCCTTATTCACAGACTGGCCGGACGTCGTCGGTTTGACTACTTTAAAGTGAACAATGACGAAAGTGACGTTACCTTAGACGTTTCATTGTCGCGCTTATTAACTTTAAGTTGTACACACCGGGAACATAGATTCCCCCTACCGATTTAGTTGATTTATATTTACACATATTGGTCTCCATGCTTAGGGTTGGGTACGTGCACTGCGAAATATGAAGAATAACATCTTTGTTGACATTTCCGACGGATCGACTTGTGAAATGTTGCAAGTTGTTATACCGAAATCACTTACTACTGGTAATTTAAGTTACGGGAGTAGCATCAGCGCTGAGGGAGAATTATCTTTGGCTCCTAATGGCAGGACTGAGCTACGTGCAGTTAACATTGATGTGATAGGCACATGCAAAGTTGAGGAAGATCAATATCCCTTTGCTCCAAGAAAAACATACAACCAGGAGTATATCAGGCAGTACTTGCACTTGAGGCCGAGAACGCGAAAATTTGGTAGTTTATTGAGGCTACGCGATCTCGCCACTGCTGTAATTGGTGATCATTTGAGAAGTAGAGGTTTTATAAATGTACACACACCGATCTTGACGTCCAATGATTGTGAAGGTGCAGGTGAAGTGTTTACAGTTAAGCCATACTCTGAAGAAATCCTCAAAAGCATGAAAAAAGAAAATCAATCCAATGAGGAGATTTACTTCAATACGACCGCTTATCTTACTGTTTCCGGACAGTTGCATTTAGAAGTGGCAGCGAGGTGATTAACTTCTTTGTTAATGTAAGATTGATGATACTTCTCATATTGTTGGATGCAAAATGTACCGTTAGAACTTTTTCAGAGCTCTCACAAAAGTGTACACTTTTGGGCCTACGTTCAGAGCAGAAAATAGTAAATCAAGATTACATTTGTCAGAATTTCATATGTTAGAGGCAGAAGTAGCTTTCATTACGAGTGTTGAAGAGTTGATAGAAGAGATTGAGCTTTTAGTAAAAGGAGTTACCGAGAAAATGATTGAGAAGGGAACCTCAGATTGGCAATCGATGGGTGTTCCTGAGCCACAATGGTTAAATAAAAGTTTCGGATGTTTAACGTATGACGAAGCATTTAATGTGCTAAGTGACCATGCAAGTCAGTTAGAATGCCCTGTTAAGTATGGAGAAACATTCTCAAAAGAACACGAATTATTTTTAGTGCGATATAACAACGGAGTACCGATCTTTGTTATAAACTGGCCAAAAAGTAACAAACCATTTTACATGAAAGAGTGTGTAGATAATCCGTCTAAGGTGAGCCAGTATTTCGAGAACAACATAATGTATAGAAATATCTAAGACTCATGTGTGCATCCTAAGTAAATACATTTATGCATTTTCTTGAAAGGTAGCGGCACTGGACCTTCTGGCACCAGATGTGGGGGAATTGGTGGGAGGCAGTATTCGCGAAGACGATTATGAGAAATTAAAGCTAAAACTATCTGCCGTGACGAATCTTTCATGGTATTTAGAATTACGTAAATACGGGAATGTACCGACAGGCGGTTTTGGAATGGGATTTGAGAGATTTCTGCAGTATGTTCTGGGGATCCAAAATATCAAGGACACTGTGCCTTTTCCCAGGTGGCCTCACAATTGCAATCTATGAATAAAGATTTCAGGTCTGTTGCATTATTTAATTAATCCCTTCAACGCTAGTAAAATATGGCTGTATATGTTAATATACAGCGAATTAAAGAAAAAAACTTTTCAAACAAAAAAACAATGCGGCGAGTTTCTAGAAATATTTTTCAACTACTTTAGCATACACATGATGTACACGTACCTTTTTCAAATTAATTATTTGAATACACTGCACATGACACACACGCACATTGATATGGGATAATTTGTGAAGTGATACATCTTTCCAAAATTTTATTTTACTAAAGATTTTATGAAAGTTACTCTTTTATTCTTTCTTCTATTCTAACACTTTTGCTCTTATAAATAATATTAATTCCGTTTTTTGATCTCCTTTTATTCTTCTTTTCTTTTTACTCGACTTTTCATCAGTATATACTTATTTAATTGAAAAATAGAATTTCATGTTTTACTCAATCAACATTTTTAACTCTGTAATGTTCTATCCTATAGTAAAATATGAATATCTACTTAAATTACTTATAAGAGTATATTGTTTCAGGGTAAAGTCATTATAACAAATAATTCTTTGCATCGTAACTCTTTATTAAATATTAAAGGAATTACATGTAACATTAACTAAATAATTAGATAAAGCAACGAAGATTGATACAAAGTCGTAATGTGAAGAGAAAAGCCACATTTTATTAATGTCTTTATTTGTTCCAAATATTCTTATTTATTTATGGATACAAATCCATCCCCTAAATAGTGTTGAAGCTATAGACCAAAGGATTTTGTAGAAAGGTATCAATTGAAAGAAAGTCAAACCTATTGTAAACAAGTCTTTTATACAACAAAATAATGCTCATCTAGTATTAGCATATCTCCTTAATATCTCGACGTCATTGTTTTCTCGCTAATATAATATCTACATGTTACAAATAGACGGTTATATATATGTATACATATATATCACATAATTTGTACACCTTGAAATGAATCGCGTAATCTCTACATACGAACGCATTGGACATATTAATTTTTTCAGTATTTGCTACAATTTATACAAGTACAAATGGTATGAAACAGCGAGTCCGCCGCCTGTACACTTGATGCTATCATAGTCGAACTCGCAAACGTCTCCAAGAAGAATGATTGCATTCGATAAATCTTCCTTTTAGCTGCATCTACTGAATATCTTATTTTTTCAATCAACATGTGTATATATATTTATATATATATACACACACACACATACACGTGTGTGTGTGTGTGTGTGTGTATGTATGTATATCTAAATACATATATAAACATATCTAATACTTAGTTCAGAAAATGCAGCTAAAAAGAAGTAACATTCAAACAACATTCGGAATGCTACAATATCATATCTTCCTACATTATATTACCTATGTACATGTACAATGTTTTTTTGCGCTGTTACTCGATACGTTTACACTTGCATGCCTCACATGCCACATTTCGCACATTTTTAACTTGTACGATACGATTATTACTTCAGTACGCATGTGAGAGACGGACGAAGGATTTCAATTCACTTAAGCGGCAGTAAAAATTGTCAATGGAATTTTGTGTGTGCATCAATCGAGACGAGAGAGCATAACTATTGTAGGGGGGGAAAAAAAAGAAAATGCAGATCAACGTATTCACTAAAAAGTAGACACTCTACACAGTCGATTGCAAAAAGGATGCGTTTCTTACGGTGGATTTTGCAACGAATCGCGGTACTTATTAGCTGTCCAATGAATTTTTCTATTAAATACTGAATGGCGTAGTGAAGCTCATCGAGGGTGCAATAGTTTGCGACCCTTTCGCTGTACATATATCATGTCGTACAAGTTGTACAAAATTGCGATATACAAATTAACTCTTAACACACTACGCCACTTAAAAGTATTATTAATCTTTTTTTAATACGCTTTATTTTTGTCCACTTTTCACATGTGAATCTTTAAACTTTATACACTTACTTGTATATTTACATTATACTACAGAGCCCCGACAGTTCTTGTCCTTTTTCTACGGGGGGCAAATTCGATAGTTTCCTACCACGTAAACTCGGTTTAATGGAAGCTGGCACCAGAGGCTTCGCATTTTCTTCGACCGGTGTCTCAGGCGCCGCCACTTTCTCTTTCTCTTCCGGCTCTTTGTTGGTACTCAGTGGCTTGGTGATATTGATCTTGATTCGTGGTTGTGCCGCGGGGATAGTCGCCGGTGTCGAGTCCAATTCCACGTTTCCGTCGATGGAACTTTTCACTGCAACGTACGTCGTGTCTACCGTGGCCGGTCCATTGATGATGGTTCCATCTGGATCTAATAGAAACACGTAAAGAGATCATTGAAGATTCTTATATTTCCCGGATTTGGACCGACGAACCGGAGATCTCTAGCGAGGCGCCACACCTCTACTGCGCTACGCTCACTCTTTTGGAAATTTCAAATCGTCTGTTCTTACATGAAATATATATGTTCTTTTANTTTTTTTAAAAAAAAAAAAAAAAAAAAAAAAAAAAAAAAAAAAAAAAAACATGTAAATACATATACAAAAAATACATATAAGTACATATACAAGTTTTTCCTCGTGATAACGCAAGATAATAGTACGTACCCGCATCGGGATCTGCAGGCTCTTCTTTAATTTCTATGTTAGCGAATTCGAACAATTCGCTCTCGGGTTGCTCGCCGACATCATCCATCGGCTCTTCTTTAATCTTGATATTGTCGAACGGCATTATTGAACTTTCGTCCTGAGATTTCTCCTCTTCGTTCGTCACAGGCGCGTCAGACGTTTGCTCAATATTTTCCGCGTCTGTATTCAGGTCACTGTTGACTTCCTCCGTCGTTTTTCCCGTCTCTTCGGCATTGTCTTGCGTTAATTCCAAATTCTCGGCGTCTGGAGACTCCTCTTTGTTTTCCAGTTCAGTGGTTTCCATAGGACTCTCCTCCGCTTGATCCAACGTTTCCGTAGATTCGAACTCTTTATTCGCTGCTTCTACGTCGGATTCTTCCTGTTTATGTTCCTCTTTCGCTGCTACTTCCTCGGAACATTCCTTTTTACCCTCTTCGGTTTCCATAGCTGTTTCGTCAAGTCCTAAGGTTGTCTTCTCCAATACCCTCTAAAGTTTCAATACAATAAATTCCAGTTATTAATTTATACCGATCGACGACGCAATGTCAATATTAATATTAACTACAACAATTCGTTATTCGATTCGCAATTAATGCAGGTAGGGACAATTATGTGGAATGAAATATGTATAGAGACAAAACTTGTTGCAAAACGTATTTAAAAAAGAAAAAAATGTTCAAACGTATTTTTTTAGACAAAATTTAAATATTGGTATTGGCGCCTGCGTGTCTGCGCTAAAGGGATATACACGAAAGGACACGAGTGAAATAATTTATCTTTTATGTATGAAAATTAAATTCTGTTCACATATTTCGGCGCGCGAACCTGAACGCTTCCTTTTCTACGTCGCTGTGCCGAGTGAGACGATGGAGAAATCAAAGAGAAGGAGACATGCGTGTCATATACATAAGTGTGTGTTACGTGCATGTGTATATAATACACAAACACGGAGCATAGTGTTGCAGTGTGGCACAAATGTGTTATTACAGATCTCTTCGCACGATGAACTTGAACGAAGTTCGCTTGTTCGAAACAATTCTGTGAAGACGGAGACGTGTGTTTGAGCGGCAATTACTTATTCTACGCTTGCACTATTACTACAAAACAACAGAAGTCTTGTGAGAGGTGTGATATGTGCCGTGAATTATTTGAATTATTTATGAATTCATGAGAATTATTAAGAATCACGTACCGCCAGACTCTTTTCCTATTTTTGCAAGAATGCAACAGACGGAAATTTCGTTAATAGAAACATAATAACGATGCACAGTGGTTCCTTCCTAACACTATCTGGCAAAGAGCGGAAAGAATGGAATACGGACTACACGTGCGAGCCAAGTGCGGTTAACTAGTGCCGTAACAAATAAATAAGACTTCTTATGTCGTCACAATGTTTACTTGTATTTCGTTCGTGTGTTCTCGTATTATGTACTGCGATTCCACTGAAAGTCAGATACGACTGAAACGTTTGGATTTGATTTAAAGTGTAAACATATGTGACGACACCAGAAGTTTTGTTTATTTATTATGGCACTGTGCTGTGTTCGGCTCTTCATGGCTCCATAATTTAACAAATTTAATTAATTTAATTTAATTTAATTAATTTAATAAATTTAACAGAGCTGAAATCACTGCAGAATCCTTTCCTTAATTTCAAGTATCTAATTGACAAGTTTATTAAGTCTCAGTTTATTTTCTCACAGTATCGCGCAATTAGTTTTGGATACTCTCGCAAAATTGTACGTCGTCCTTTATACAACCGATACAGAGAGAAAAAGCTTAGTAAAAAAAGCAAATATTTTTCACCAGAATTTTATTGAAAGAAATCACTGCGACGAGGAGAATTAAAATATACATATCAGTCAGGATAGGCAGACAAACCTTGTAATCTTCCAGGCAGAGCGGATGATAATTCTTTTCCTCGTGATTAACCGCCGGCCTTAAATGCCATTCCTCCTTTTCTTCGTTATAAAATTGCTCAAATGCATCATGGCACACTTGACACCGCGAGTCCTCGTCGTTGCCGGTCGGCACGCTCGGTTGCAGCGTTTCCTGAGGTGAATCGTCGCTAGCCACACCTTCCGTCTCTGCCGTCTGTTTCTCAGTCTCGAACCAGCTTTGCGCTAAAGAAGACAGGCAAACAAATGATAGAGAACTTGATGTTTCACACGGTTTAAGCGACACAATCGAACGCATGGTCGATTCAACTTTCCTAACAGGGCAACAGATGTAAAATCGACTCGGAAAGATTGTCTCGATATTCAAGTGATGAAAGAAGAGGCACGTACCTCTATCCTCTAAATCTTCGATCTCTTCGAATTGCGTCCAGTCGCTGACGTCGTAATACCACGGGCGAGAGTGCGCTTTCCGCGCGGAGTCACGTTCACGCCTGTTCTGCCTGAAGTGCCAGTCCAAGTGGTGGCTGTACCGAGTGGCCAGTTCGGGAGCGAATCTCGCGCCGCAGGAACTACATTGCATACCGCTGTACAACGCCGAGGAGATAGCCGGTTGTTTGCTGCGAAAGGAGATCGTTTTAATGCACAAAATCCGATTTCTCATACGAAGTGTCGATCGTACACCGGATCGTGCGTGTTTTAGCTACTTACATTTTGAGACTCTCTGGCTTGTCGAAGGTGATGGGAATGATTTCGGGCTCTTTCTTCTCTTCCTCTTCTGGTTTCTTCTGCTCCGTAAGATTCGGAACGATAATGCCAGTCTCGACGAGTCTCTGGAACAATTCGCTCATGCTAAGCGGCAATGCCGCAGCCGCCGATGAATTCTCCGCGGGCTCCGCTTGGTAAGACAGACCGGATGACGGAGCCATTGCCGACGGCAGAACCGACGACAGCATATCCAGTTGCAAGTCTGCAAGATTAGATTGGATCAGACGAATGCTCGATTTCGTACGTATACGAAACAATAGAGCTTTTAGCGTTTAACACTTTGCGGTCCGCGTCCGAAGACGCTTGACTAATGTGTTCGAACTTCTCGAAGGCAATACGCATGTAACAGCGCTTATTTGGTTGATTTTCTTCTTATACAAATGTTGATATCTAAAAAGCTATTGAACCTAGTAGCGTATTTAAACAATTTTTATCGTGAAGTTCATTCTTTTCTCTATTATTAAAAAACATCATAAAAGTTAACTTTTCTATGAGAGCTTTACTTTTTGAGACCATCAATATCATGGTCTATTTTGAGCTGGAAAAAAGTCAAACATAGATATAATCGACTTTTTAAGAGGCATAAATTATATCAAGAGGATTAATAAAAGAATAGAAAACATACTTCTCGTTTACATGTGCTTGCAAACATGGTTTTTTACTCCGCGGATATAAATTAATATTCTTATCGTCTGATGATCCTGACGAAATTTGTCTCAATGACCATATAATATGAAACAAAATAATATAAAATACGGCATAATACGAAACCAAACAGTAGACAAATAAATAAATACAATTAGAGAACACGTGTACGATTGATAAATAATAAATCAATGACTGAATGTAAGAGTCGTATTTACTTTCCACATCTTGAATTTCTTTACTTAAAGAAAAATCTGTGTTAGATAACATTTTTTGCTTTTCCTCAGCTCACAATAGTGACACTAGTAAGATACGTCGATCTACTTGAATCGAAAGACTAGCTCTGAAAGAACCATTCTAACACTTGGAGCGATCGTCACTTGTTTTGACATAGCTACGGTCGCTATTCATCTGTTTTGCATGTTGCCAGTTGCTTAAAATCGCATTTGTTTCGATTTATCGATGAAACCAACGTCAGATCGCGACGGCATAGTGCCGTCGACGGACCGCAAAGTGTTAACGGAATTCTGGGTAGCGATTGCGAGGGAAACGTTATACGATTTCTCGCTTCACACATCATGTTCAGCACGGCTACAATTAGGCTTATTCCGTAACTTTTAACGACAGTGCCCTAATTTCAACACAAAAGCCTTTAATTTTAGTTTTACTTCACATCTAATGCTGAGAAGCAAATTTAAATTGGTGGAAATAAGATTGATCTTCTTCACTACTATTCTATTTTCAATAAAAATACCACGCTACGTTCCCTCCGCATCGAAGTAGAATCAGATTTGAAAGCTTCTGTGGAAACTAGAGCAGTGTTGTTACCGTCGTCGTTGCGCAGGTAATACACAGTAGAAAAGCTGGACATCGTCAACGTAACGATAACGTCATTGTCGTTAAAAGTTACGGGATAAGGTCGCGGGAGTTTCGATGTGACAATGAAATGTTCATTCGTACCTGGCTTCGGAGGGGACGTGCGATCCGAGCCGTCCTGAGAAGTGGACTCGTGCTCTATGATGGGCAACAATTGGCTCGGAGTTGGGGTGGAATCTACTTTAGGTTTCAGAGCCGGCAAGGGTGTGTTCGGTGGCGTGTCGATGGGACCGTCGCCTCTCATTCCGGTGATCTTAACGTAACCAGCGCGCACACCTCTCGGCAACACCGAAAATCTAATGAAGTGCTTCTTGTCTCTGACGACGATGGGTTTGGGTAATCCGCCAAATTCAACTTTGAACGGCCGTCCGTTCAGGTGGACCGTTTGCAATGCGTCCGTGAATTCGAGCGTGTGAGGCTTCCCTTCGATCTCGAATCTGCGAAAGGGACAAGTGAAACGGGTAATTACAGTCTCGTCATTTAATTCAGACTCGGCGATTCGTGCGTTAATGAGAACAATGTACTCACATCTGCGGCTTCGCGTCCAAGAACACCGGCACCATGTTCCGTGCGTTGATGATGAGATTAATTTTGGCGACTACCAGGTCCGTTCTCTTCACCGTGCCGATCTTGACCTGCGGCGGTGGGCCCTCCAGCTTCATACTGACCTTCTTACCGCTGAGCTCGATCGTTATCGGCATGCCGCCGAAATAACACTCGTACCAGCGGTCGTCGATGTACAATTCCCGAGTGGGTGCGCCCAGTTTGATTCTGAAAAAAGGGAGAAATTCGTTATCAATCTCTCTCAGTTCAAGCTGATACGTGCGATAGGGTACGATAGGGTACGATAACTCTGCAAGGTGGACATTTTCATAGGCAACTCTATCATTATAATTAGAGTTACCTATGTAAAATTGCCACCTTGCATACACACGAACGAGCTTGAGAACCGTGTGACCCTCGATCTAAGGAATGAAGAGGCATAACAAACGCAGTGCGTACGTCTTTGACATAATCGTACCTGTGAACCTCTCCTTCGTATATGAACTCCTTGTACGGATCGTTAAACGCGCAGGTTATAGTGTCCTTCTCGTCGATCAGTATTCTCCTGATTCCGTCTTGGAAGCCGATCTCCCTCGGGTCGTCCCAGTTCATAAAGACCACGCCCGTTTGCCCGTAGTACCGGATCTCCCGCGGTATGTTGTCGATATTGATGGACTTCATGGTGTCCCTGGAGATCTCGGCCAGCAGCTTCGAGTCCGGCGGCGGCAGTTCGCGGCTGTACGGTCCCCCTTGATGCTTCACCGCGCAGCTCGGGTAGTTCGGGTCGTTGTCCTCGAGGTCGTACTTGGACGCCGTGTTGGGCGACACGTTTCTACCGGACGACAGGGACGGCATGCTCGGATTCGCCATGAGATTACCCATCGGCCCGTTGTTCATCATCATCGCGGGATGACATCCGATGGACATGGGAGGATTAGGCATGCCCATCGGCCCAATCGGCCCGTTCGGCAGGAGGTTCGACATGATCGGGCCGTTCGGTCCCATCGGGCCCATCATACCCAAACGCGGACTGGGCCCCATGTTGTGGTTGAAGCCATGGAACTGGTAGTCCGGCCTCATCGGCCCGAAGTGTCGGGGATTCTGCCACGGAGCGACCGGTCTCATCTCCGAATTGAAGTGGCCTTGCGGCCCGCCGTACGGCGGTCCCGGCGGATGAGCCCACGGTTGCTGCCAGGGCTGATTCTGCCACCTCGGGCCGTTCGGATTCCGCGGCATCGGGTGCTCCTTGCTCCGTATCACCTCCTTATCGTTGGACGGACTGCTGGACTTTCGCTGGTGCAGCGCGGCGCGTTCCCCGGGCCCGGGAATGTCCATGTTCACGCTCTTCTCCCAGACTATCGTGCCGCTCTCCTTCTCCTTGCGTTGCGCCGCTCGCAACTTCCGATCTTCGCTCATGTGCAGCACCTCCTGTATCAGAGTGTTGTACTGCGTCTTGGTGATCAGGCCTTGATTCAGCTGCTCGGCCGCCTGCTTCATTATTATCTCGATGTTCCTGTCCTCGTTTCTCTCGGGCTTGTCGTTCTCCCGGCTTCTGCGCGTCGGTCGAGCGTCCTGCTCCTCGTTCGACAAGGTTCTCCTTCTCTCTTTCGGGTCGTCCGGGAGCTTGTTGTACAGCCTGAGACGACCCAGCCGGTCCCTGTTGCGATCTCTCTCGCGCTTGTCCTCGACATTGTTAACTTGCTTGTCTCTCTCGTTCTTCGTCGGAGTCTTCAACTTCGCCCAGCCGTCCTTCCCGTCCTCCCCGGATATCACGGGCGGAGGAGGCGTCGGGGGCCGGCCGGCCTTGGGATGCGTCAGAGTGCGTAAATCGACGTCTTCATTCCCGAATAAACTGCAAAGACAAAGAGCGAAGGGAGTGAATCAGATTCGTGTTTCGTCGGGAATAGATTTTCTGTGCCACCATCAAGCACTGTGCATATACTTACGCGTCGAACTTTTCAGTCTTCATTTTTTTCGAGGTAGTTGTCTCCGCGTGGTCAGTACTTGTTCTCTTACTAGTGTTTACAGACGGCAATACTCGTAAATCTAAATCCTCTTCTGCAAAAGAAAAGATAAGGTAAAGTAAATCGCGCGAGAGACGAAATTGATTCTAGATTAGCTTATTATTATTACCGTTTGCTCATGTATTTCTAGTTACGCTTTAGAATTCGAATTTTCAGAAAATTCTCCTAATAAAGAGAGACCCACGTTAACAGCTACTGCTTGTCAGAATGAGCAAAATTACATATTCATGAGCAAGAGAAACAGAAAGTAAATACAGAGAGAGATAGAAGTTCGCACCAAAAGATAAAGATACTTTTCCTTTAAGAGTCCACCTGTTACAGTCTTACAATTGCTACCAGAGACGATGCAAACATCGTAGTCACCCTTGCGAAAAAATATTCGAGGCGAAATCTTTAAGTGGTAAACTAAAGAAAGCATATGTGTGGAGATTGATTGATAGATAGATATTTAGATCGCATGCACGATTAAGATAGATTCTTAGAGATAATGTTATCACACATATGAATATACATGCCGTCAAAACGCTGTTGACTTACTTTGCACGGAAACAGCGGTACCAGGGAGTGACAGGGGCGCTCTGAGATCCTCGTCTTTGCTAGACGACTCCAGTGTCGGCTCGGTAGCGATCTGAGCATTTCCAGCACTGGCTGGAGAATGTTCCGGACTAAGACTGCCGTCTTTATTTCGCCTTACATAATTTCGCTGTCTAGCATTCGGCCTGATCTCTTTGAACGTGGGTGGATGAGGAGGAGATACTATAAGCGAACCAGATTGCTCCTCCTCGGTAACACCGCCGGAGCTGTTCAAACTTGAATTCGACTTCGCATCGTTACGCCGGGGAATTCTGTACGGAGGACTTGGGCTACGCTTGCGGGATTTCGTGTTCTTCTTGCGGTTCTTAGAGGCTTGGAAGGAGGATGATTGCGGAGAGGTGCGTGAGGACGACGGTGAATTGTCCCCGCTGTCTTTTTCACGAGATTTCGATCTAATCGGACTCGAATCTCGGTCGAGCTTTGTTTGCTTACTTGCACCTGTCTGTGGCTGTTTGGATCGCGACTTGTTACCTAGCTTCCTATGCGAGGATTTCGAGGAAGCGGAAGACTTGTCGGCTGTCGAAGACGACGAAGAGCTCCGCGAATCTTTCGAGCTCTTCGAGTCCTTCGATTTGGAATCGCTGCCTCCACTTCCTCTATTGCTCGCTGACAATGCTGCTGACGGTGAGCTATTACTACCAACCGATAGACTCTGGGTATTTTTGGAGCTATTGCCGTTTAGGATACCGCCACTATTACTAGACAATCGAGGGTCTTTCTTTTGACTTGTTCGATGCGAGACAGCATCTTTATTTGTGTTACTACTGAAATTTTTATTACTATTATTATTGTTGTTCACGTTCGTATTAGCATTATTGTTGTTGTTATTATTATTGTTTGCCGCCGGGGTATCGGAGCCGGCGAGATTTGTCGAAGGCTTGTTGGTAGTGCTAGTTACAGCCGGTTTCGAAAGTAACTGCTGTTTTAATTGGTTTGAAAGTACATTATTTATATTTGGCGCAGACTGCGTTAGACCTTCACCCCGCGATTCCTTTGGGCTGGTCGTACCCACGCGCTGCCGAGGATCCACGGTTGGCACTGCCACATCCTGAACAGGAGTGGACTTCAAACGTGGATCTCGTGATACTGGCTTAGCCGACGCCACTGCTATACTACTAGCTGGTGCAATTCGTGGCCCGGTGTTCGCTCCTGCATTCTTTAAAAGTGACGCAGCCGCCGCGGGGAACTAATGAAATAAATGAAACAGTCATTAATACCTCGCATCGTTCTCGTGAAACGATCGACATTGACAAGAATGTGTTTGGAATTTGTAAGTTACCTGTTTCGCTACTTGTTTCGTCGTTTGATTTGGCACTACCGGTGCGACAGGTTTCTCTTGCGACGTCGATTCTTTAGTTGGCGGGGCCTGCGTAGCGGGTGTAACCTATTGTAATACAAAATATTAAAATACTGTCTTTCTAAAGAAAGTGAGAGGCAATAACTCGCTAAAACCTAATGACAAAACTGAGATCATTAGTAGTGATATTTTTTAAGTTGAAAACCGATATATTTAATTTGAAATGGATATTTTAATATCTATTGGAATGACTCTACGTACAGTGTGAATGCGAGTGTTTCGACTTTTTACCATGCGATATTAGTTATCAACGGCAATTATAATTGATCGAGCAGCATGAAGATGTGGCTTGCACACATTTGTATATCTACATCTTCAGTTATAAGTATCATAAGTATTATATTTATTATGGTTATTTATAAAAATATTACTTGCTATTATTATATAATACTTATAACCATGTGAAGATATAAATATGTAAATGTGCGCAGGCTATTTTCACGTTGCTCAATTAATTAATCATTATTGGTAACTAACATCGTATGATAAAAAGTTCAAATACCAGTTTTGACTACATGTTAATGTTCCTTGAAATGACAGATTTTATCATTACTTTATATATGAAAAATGTTATATATTTCGTTAGTATGAAGTATAAATATCTAAGATTATTTTCAGACTAGAGCTGCAAAATTTTTACATTGTTTCTAACATTACGGATACGAAAGAACAACGCTGTTTAGCGATTTTCCACAAATATCTTAGCATCGTTTCTAGTGACTCGGACACTTGAAGTCTACGTCAGAGACCAGTCATTATTAAAATTAGATCAAGAAAAAGCAACGCGTATAAAATTTTAATTTCTATCAATTTATATATATTAAGAATAAACTTACCAATTCTGTCTTCAAACTTCCAGCTTGTTTATCGAGTTGTCTCTGCTGTTGCTCCAAACTTGCTTTAGCCTGCAACAGTTCCAGCTCGATTTTCTTTTTTTGTAACTCCAATAACTCTCGTTGCTTTTTCAGCAGCTGTTCACGCATGACCGCCTCCGTTGTTGTTACCGGCTCTCCCGGTGGCAATTTAACAGGTGGCACAATCGGCTGCATGATCGATGTTGTAGTCTGTTGAGGCTAGAAATATTCATATACTCTTGAGTCATGCGACAACAAAAAAGAAATGCCTGCTCGTCGAACACAGACGCATCGGACTTACCATTGAAAGAAATCGTGGGTTAACGTGAATGGATCCTGAAGAAATACTACTAGGAGGGGCAGTGACCGGCCATGCGGGATCAATACTTTGTACTCGAACATCTAATGAAAATAACTTCTTTGGTGGGAATACGTCGTTCCAGGTTTGCCGCAACTTCCACATGCTGGCTCTTGTATTCTCGTCCACCTGGAAATCATATTGGTAATTTTATTTTATAAAGGTAAGAGAGTCGTGAGGGTTGATTGTGTTGTGTTGCAAATGTTGTCACAGTTCAAAAGTACTTTCAATATTCTCTGTATTTTGTCGTGCATGTGGTAGAAATCTCTTGATAATTGTTTTCGTTCAAAACTCACTTAAACAAATCCATTTGAACGAATAAATGAATAAATAAAACTTGTACGTTTCTCTACATGACAGAACTTGAGACATCAGCTAGGATAAAGAACTCGTGTATAGAGGGTTTGAAGCCTTTCAAAGAAGACGCGAGGTCAGTGATGCTATATTGATCAAACAATTATCTTATGTCATCGTGAAATATAAAGTATCAGGTAACTCTGTATGCGCTATAAAATATTTCTGTATGAAGTATCTCTGAGAGACTAGAGGTATAGTTCAGCTCATAGTCTGTACTATGTATAGATAGAAATTAAAGGTTACTCCCGGCCAACGACTCAACTTGTAAGGAAAGATGGTCATTGAAGATTTCATAAGAGATGTGAAAAAAGAATGAAAATAAAAAGGATATTACCTTCTCGAATACTCCACAGAACGTGTTTACTATATTTTGCGTGAAGAGATTCAGGTAGTCTCCATTGACGTTCTTGACGATCGAGTCGATGAGATAGAGGACTGGTAACTTAATATCGCTTCTCACCTGATAGAATATAATAAGTTATTTTGCTGTATTTGGTAAATACATTTGATCTATCATAGGTAGAGAGAAAAAATTCATGAATCATTTAATATAAGCATTTAATTATTTCAGAATTTTACTATATATTTTATATAAATATTTTATTTCTGTTTAATTATATACTTTTCAAAATTTAACGTCAATTTGCCCAACTTGGTAAGAAGTCTAATTATATGGATATTTAATGCAAGGAATTAAGATATTACTAGACTTAACATACGATGTAAATTTACAATTAAATTTAACATTAAATTTACAATTTAAAAGGTAAAAGGTTTCTCCTGTATCAATAACGAATACCTTTTACCTGAACAGTTATAATTTATTTATTAACTAATTGCCCCAATTAAATAAAAAAATCAAAATGATATAACAAACAACGATTCTATTCGAAAAAATTTATTATGCAATTGTGGAAGAATAAAAAGCCGAGGATAAATACAATAATTTTGAGACACCTTATACATGAAAAAATATATACAATATGTTAAAACGCAAAATACATTATCACATTCTTTAAAAAGTGCAAGTAATTGCATTGTTTATATATATATATATATACACACAAGTATCTACATATATATACAAGTCACATTATATCTTATCTATATATTCCTGCAAAAATTATTATACTTTGCTCAGGTATAAGTTCAAGGTATAGATATTGTGTTATATATCTCTAGATATCTTAAGATAGATATAGTGTTACATATCTCTATTATAATATTAAATATTAAATATTTGGCAAAATATAATTATATATATATTATTAGATACACATATATATAAAAGTTAATAATACTTATGGTTACCTTTTGCAGGTGAGTCTCAACAGCTTGTACTATAGCTGACGCGTGTTCAATATTATCTTCCGCCAACATAGTAAGCATGTTAATGAGCGGTTTACTGTTGATTGTAAGATCAGACAGAGATGAGATGTACTCATCCGCGATTTCCTTGGATTTTGTGGATGCCATTTTGATGAGTCACCACCAATAAACAGTGTGACTAATCTTGATAAGGGACAAGAGTTCAGATTATAACTGCAACACAAAAGAGAAACGTGCTTCTAATATATGATAAAAAATTTATCTTGTTATTTCGATTTAAAAAGAATGACTGGGGAAGAAGAGCTGGTTGCCACAAAGCAAAGAAAATAATTCATGTACCAGCAAAATAAGTGCGCCTGTCAGAGCTTTTAATTCTTTTTAATATGCGAACGTATATATAAAACCTACACCGCGACATTTACATAAATCACATATTATCGAGTATGCCCATGTAAAGCTTTTTGACAGCTAAACTTCTACGTTATATATATATACAAACACATACACACACTAAGTAGTTTAGATTTCTAAGGATTTTCTTTTTTCTTTTCTCTATTGCTTGCTATCTCCTTCTAAAGCTATTATGGCGGTCGTATTTCCAAAGACAGCTGTTAAAATTAATGGCACTCATAACTCTTATCAGGCTCTACAATGGCCAACCTTGACTAATTCTAAAAGAATTTTTTCGACCACGTAAGGGTTTTTCTACCAAGTCAGGTATAGCCGAAACTTTTCTCTTTTGACAAAAACTCATACCTTTCTCCTCCCTTTTTTTTCTACCAAACCTGGGACGCACACTTAAGCAATTTTCTTTTTAATAACTTGACAGTTTTCTAAGAGAAAAAAAAGTTCGACGGACTTATTTGGAGATAACTCATTTCTATAATTTACGGACGAACCCGACCGAAATAAATACGAAATTTTTTTCTTCCAAAGGAAGAAAAAGAAAGAGAGAAAGTTGAATTGCTTTTAGAATAACCCGAAGAAAGACCTGATTTCAACTATTTATAAACGAAATACGTTTCGGAAGATAATTATCAAGAGAAACACACTTGTAAGCGAATTCTTCGTAATGATGAAATATTTGAACGTACAGAGGCAAAATAAACAGCAGCGCCTTGTCCGATGAGTCAACGAGGAAAGTCGGGTAATTTCAACGCGAATTGCACAAATGTTATCGTTATTCGTGCGGGACAGGCGGTGAAACGCGATGTCGCGGATTCGAGGCGACGATCGCGGCCGAAAAAGCACACTTTCGCCGAGCCGAAGTGTAATCTAGGGCGAAAGTGACGACATTCAGATATGTACCTGCGCGATGCCGGGGCTCGTCTCGGCCGTCGACCGACCGTCCCTCGCAAATGGCAAACTCGAACGGAAAGGATGAATTAGCGCGCCACGTTACGTTTACATAATATTATCCTTCTGTGAATCTCTGGAAAAAGACTCACCTCTGAACGAGCTTGGCTGCACGGCATCCGTGTAGAGAAGAGAAACACTTATCGATCTCGCTCGCACTCCTCCTCCCCTGTCTCACTCTCTCTCTCTCTCTCTTCTTTCTCGCTCGCTCACTCTCTTTCGTTCCGTACTCTCTCTCACTCGCTCTCGCTCGCTCTCTCTCTCTCTCTCTCTCTCACTCACTCACTCACTCACTCAGTCTTCTCTCTCTCTCTCTCTCGCTTACTCGCCGTTCTCTCCCACGATTAAAAATATATAATCGTCGGACACATCGCGCGATTTATCACAGTCATCGTATAGGACCGAAACACGAACGATCACAGTAACGTCTAGAACGCATCTGGACCCGCCGTTGTCGCCGTTGCGGTCGACGTCGTCGTCCTACTCGAGAGTCGTCGTCGTCCGTAATCACGTCGTTGTCGCCGTTGCTTCTCGATCGGCAAGATCGCGGTTTTAGCGTAGCGGCACTACCGATCACAACTGATCACGCGCAATTGCTCAGCTTTGAAGATCTCGCGGCATGAGCACGGCTCGCGACGTTACGACCAACCCCGAACTTATCCGTGAAAACACGCGAGCACGACTGCTTACGCGGAACGGGATATCCAACGTAAAATGGCCGACATACCTTTGTATCTCACGATGATGTAACGTCCCTCCTGATTGGTCACCGTTATTTCGTCGTCGGTTGCCCGTCGAAAACCTGCCAATCGCAGCGCCCGGCAGAAGCAGCCTCAGGACGCGCGCGACGTGCGCAACGGTGGACAAGTCACGAATCGCATTGAGATGCAGTTACACGACTTAAAGTCAACTTCACAGGGTTGGGAATTATCACGAAGCGAACTGTCGCGAGACGAATTACCGCGAAACGAAGCAAATAATCGCAAAGTCGGATACAGGACTTCGTGATTGAATATCGATTCCAGTTCAATAAACGCTTTTGTTACTGTTGTTTTCACAATACAGTCGAAACGTGAACTGCTACGCTCACCGATAGAATGCGAATGTTCCCTTTTAGTCCCGATGCGCGCGTTTTTCGGTTAATGGTGCATTCTAGAGACACGACATGGTAAACCGAAACCATGGACAGAATCGATGCACGGTTCTCTCGACGGTTTATTTTTCACGATTGTTCTATCTAGAGAGTGGTAGGGGTAGGGAAGTCAAACAACAGTCACGTGATCTGGGGCCCTATTTTTGAAATAGTTGCGTGTGCACGTGTATTCATTTAGGGCGCAGATAAATCATAAAATAGTGACCAATACTAAGGAAGAATTTACACCTTGGTAAGGAAGCAGTAGCCAATCAGAACTCGCGCTGGTAATCGACAGTTCTGCTTTATTTACTATTTACTGTATCCCGGTCTACAATAGTTGTTTCAAGCCTTAAGAAATTGACCAATCACAGTTGATTATTCTCTTCACATTCGACTGTGATTAGTCAATATTTTTAAATCTTAAAGCTTAAAATACTTATTGCAGACCGGGACTACCAGCGCGAATTCTGATTTTCCACTTTCTGCTTTTTGTCAAGGTGTGAATTCTCCCTAACATATATTCAACCATTTTATGAAAAAAGGTCCAACTACTCTGTGATTGACTGGCATAATTCCTGCTTGAATAGTTATAGTAGTGCGTTTGGTTAGAAAATGTTAAGGCCTATGCACAATGAAGCTACAGGTAATAGATTTCTAACCTATCGGAAACCATATATCATATGCACAGCGTTGGTTGTGTTCAGAAAACACAAGCGATCAGTGAGCGGTCGGTGATCATTGGTCTTTAATGTTAGATCTCTAAATTTAGACCAATTATGTTGACGAATTATCAACCGTTGTGCAGCCGTTGTGTCTTCCGAATGCACCTATTGACTTTTGCATCTGATTGGTATATCCTTTCAGACTTAAAAATGTACTCCAATTAAATGCAAGATTTCACTAACCACTAGGTAGTTACTAGATTTGATTAACTTTGCCGTGTAAACAGTCATAGGATCTTTAACAAAATACGAATCCATGTTCGCAATGCGTGTTGTGACACTGGCTTAAGACGTATTATTTCTATTAGTTCCAAAGTCTCCGCTAAACATTGCCAGTATGCCATACCGAAAAATCGAGGGCGTAGTATGACTCAACGACAAGTGTAACGTCTCTTTAATTTCAAATTTTACGATCCAACAATAAATTAGAAAACTCTTTTCTTCTCAAGCAGCACAACTGATCTGCAAATTTTTATTGGTGCTACCAACAAGTTAGCAGATCCTTTTATTTCCAGATGGTACAATTCAACAACTGACCAGAGGAAATTTCTTATTCTCCAGCAATACGAGTGACATATCCGCCGTTTTTTTTTAAATCATGCCAACTAAGTACAAAACAAGACGGATGATTCAATTAACTGTTATTATTGCACGACCCGAGTGCTGGTAAAATCGCTCCCTAGATATGCAGGAATATTGCGTATCGACCGAAAACGCCAGCGTGACACATTCGTTCCTCCCTGCATCTTCGCTCGGAAGGTTTGACAACTCCGAGTCAGCGAGGTTGGCATGTCAACAGATTTCTGAGCATTTCGACGCTCGCGTTGCCCTTCATGTGACAGCGGGAGCACCTTCGTTGTCTCTCAAGGTATGCGGTAGTGTCCACGAGTAACTTGACAGCGAAATATTACCGGTGGTCGTTCCACCACCGTCGTGAACCCGTGAAATTGAAATCGCCCTAAAGTGAGGTTAGGTCTGTAACTAGGTCTGACCATGGTGAATCTACGGGATCTCCAGATAAACGCGCTCAAGCAGATGTTGAATCTGAATCAGCCCGAGTCGCGGCACGAGGAGGCGGTGCCGACGTGGAAGATCCTCATTTACGATCGCCTCGGCCAGGACATCATATCGCCGCTCGTCTCCGTCAAGGAGCTGCGCGAGCTCGGTATCACGCTGCACATGCAGCTACATTCCGACCGGGACTCCATTCCCGAGGTGCCGGCGATCTACTTTTGCGCGCCTACGGACGAGAATCTGGGCAGGATCAGTCAGGACTTGCAGAACGGCCTCTACGACATCTACCACTTGAACTTCATCTCGCCGATCTCGCGGCAGAAGATGGAGGACCTGGCGGCTGCAGCGCTGCTCGGTGGCGTCGTCTCCAGTATCCACAAGGTGTTTGATCAGTATCTCAACTTCATCACCCTGGAGGACGACCTGTTCGTTCTGCGCCATCAGAACAGCGACGTGATATCCTACCACGCGATCAACCGCGGCGACGTCAAGGACAGCGAGATGGAGTCTGTGATGGATATCATCGTGGACTGCCTGTTCTCGGTGTTCGTCACCCTGGGCACCGTGCCCATCATCCGTTGTCCGCGCGGCAATGCCGCCGAGATGGTTGCTAAAATGATCGACAAGAAGCTCCGGGAGAACGTGTGGGACGCCCGGAACAACCTGTTCGAGGGCGAGGTAAGCGCGACCGGGCACTACAGCTTTCAACGGCCCCTGCTCATCGTGCTGGATCGCAACGTCGACATGGCCACGCCGCTGCATCACACATGGACGTACCAGGCGTTGGCGCACGATGTCCTGGAGATGGCGCTTAACCGGCTGGTCGTGGAGGAGAACGTGGGACGGTCTCCGGCCGGTGGGACGCGTTCCAAGACGCGCGCCTACGAGCTGGACAGCAGGGACCGCTTCTGGTGCGAACACAAGGGCAGCCCGTTCCCCAGAGTGGCCGAGGCGATACAGGAGGAGCTGGAGCAGTATCGCACCTTCGAGGAGGACGTGAAGAAACTCAAGTCCTCCATGGGCATCGACAACGAGAGCGAGGCGGCGTTGTCGATGGTGTCGAACAATACAGCGCGGCTGACCAGCGCGGTGAACTCGTTACCGCAGCTGCTCGAGATGAAGCGCCTGATAGACATGCACACGTCGGTGGCCACCGGCATCCTGAACGCGATCAAGTCGAGGCGGCTGGACACCTTCTTCGAGTTGGAGGAGAAGATCATGAGCAAGCAGACGCTCGACAGGAGCGTACTCGAGACGATCGGCGATCCGGACTGCGGCACGCCCGAGGACAAGCTCCGTCTCGCTATTATTTATTATATCTGCACGAACATGTCCGACGCGGACTACGGTAAGCTGGAGGCCGCCCTGACCGCGGCCGGCTGCGACCTGAATCCCTTGATCTACGTCAAGAGGCTGCGTAGCTACACCAGGATAGCCGAAATTCAGAGCAGCTACGAGGGCGGCGGCACCAAGACGGTCAGCATGTTCTCGAAGCTGATGAATCAAGGTTCGTCCTTCGTCATGGAGGGCGTGAAGAATCTGGTGGTGAAGAGGCACAATCTACCCGTCACCAAGATAGTGGACGAACTGATGGAGTCGAAGCAGTCCTCCCGCACCGAGGACTACTGCTACCTGGACCCGAAGCAGCTCAAGCACACCGAGCAGATGCCGAAGAACCGGCCGACCTTCCAGGAGGTCATCGTATTCGTCGTGGGCGGCGGCAACTATATTGAGTACCAGAATCTGGTGGATTACGTGAAGCAACGCAGCGGCGCCGGTGTGAACAAACGAGTGATCTACGGCTCCACGTCCTTTATCAACGGCAAACAATTGCTGAAGCAACTTTCTCTCCTCGGCCAGGAAGTCCACTCGTGAACGTTCCGCACGCATTTGTCGTNCGTCTCAATCTGTTCTACGTGCGTTATCTCGTAGTCGCGCTTTCCTTTGATAAAGTTGTTGACCTCTTGTAAAAAGTGTACGATATTAATAAAGTCTGGTTTGTTATTTTCAACAAGTACGCTCACCAGCTTTTCTCCTGCGAAACGTCGCACCTGCTAAGCCGCTCTGAAACGCTGCGCGCGTTTTCCGGTTGATGGTACATCCGAGAGACACGACACGGTAAGCCGAAACCATGGACAGAATCGATGCACGGTTTTCTCGACGGTACATTTTTCACGATTGTTCTGCTCGATGCCGCCGGCTTGAGAGGATTCGAGCGGGTATCAAAGTTGAGGCTTTCATCACGTTTGATTGTATGTGCTGAAAATTTCTAGGATCTTTAATAAGGCCCTGAACATCATTTATGTAGCTAAATTTTTTACGATGAATTATAGTGGAAATTATATGAGCGAAATTGTAATAATAATCATAATTATATAACGATTCCTTTCGAAGTAAATTTATAGAAATTATAATCGCGTTTCTCTGAAATATTTCTCTCTTAAATATTACAGATTTATATCCTTTCTTATTTTTTTATTTTTTATTGTTTGTAAAAATTATAAAATTATTTTTGTATTATTTATATTTTAATTTCTATGTGTGACGAATATATTATTCATATTTTTCTTTTCGTTATCAGAAATGGTTTCTTGTCCGACGTGATATGTTACGTATTGCGTAATGAAAAATCTTTTTCTCACGAATGTGTGCGCAACTGTATTCAATTTGTTTGATCGATCAATCGTGTACGGCAGGTGCGCTTCCTCGACGAGACCTTTTAAAGCGTATAGACGTTGATTGACACGTTTGTCGAAAATTGCAGTTAGTAAAAGATACTTGGATTAGAAAAGTATGGCCACTGATCAAAATGAATCGGAAAATTTGTTGCAAAGAGCTGTCATCACGACGAATCCGCAGGAAGCGGTTACGGAGTATTTCGTATCCAAGCAGGAGGAACGTAAAATCAAGTAATGCATTGTAATTAGAAATATCGTAGATAATTGATTAGATAATAAGGCGTATTATTTGTCATTTTTATGTATCGAAGGATAATGTTAGATTGTTATTTGAAAAATTGTAACATACGCGAGAGAGATATTAAAACAAAGACCTAACTCGACGATGTGCAACAATCGATAAGAATGTGAAGGGAACAATATTATTATAAAATACCGCTATAAATAATATTATAAAATATTATATTAAAATACCTTGGTCTTGAAGACATGATTATATAAGATTTGTTATTATAAAAATCACACCTGATGATACTTGCATGATAGAAGATACCCAGACTGGGATAAAGTGAGGATATGTCCGGCGACCGAGGTGATCAGGGCACGCCGAGAATTAGCTCAGGTCGACGAAATGTTAAAGGACAAGTGGGCGGAACAAGGGACGAAGCGTATGGATATGGACAAGCAATGGGAGGAGGCGAGAAATCAAGCTTTGATGTTACGGCAGTCTTTCGTGAAGTTTGACCAACTCGTGCGAGAGAATGTCGAGAAGCGCGAACGAGCGGAGCAAAAGATCAAGGAGGAACACGAGCGTCAGGAGAAATTCAAACGAGAAGTACGGACTCGTTGCTGAGGGAAATCATTTCTATCGATGCACTCGTGTGAAACTTTATGGCGGAACCTCCGAGCACAATATTACGTCGAATATCACGATGAAAGAAAGAAAGAATTTAAATAAAATCGTATATCGGTCAATAATCTTTCTTTCTTTTTTTTTATTAGGCCGATGAGCTCGAGCAGAAATTGCATGGCATGAGAGAGGTATTGGATAAGATGAAACGATACACAGACGTACACAAGAAGTATCAATATTACTTGGAGAATGTGGTAAACGATACAGGCGAGTTTCAGTCGATCAATGATATTTTTAATCGTTACGAAACTCTGGTCGAAGCCAGACAAACGTTGCGTGATCGTCAGGACACGAATCTTCAGATACTGGAGGACAAAGGCGCAGAGATAGTACGTGCTAAATAGTAAATTTAAGACTTATTATCCGGATTCACTATGAAATATCACCATCCTATCTTGTCGCACTATATTTAATTTCAAGTCGTTAATTTAATTGCTTTATTAATTTTTACTGTGCAAGTGATTCAAGGCATTTAAATTTTGACACCTTTATTTTATATTCTCACCTTAAGTAGCAGAGTGACATCAATATTGATGGCAATATGACTTCTCTAACGTCAATATGACGTCTCCTGTCAGTTTGCTATTTGGGACCTGTGCTCGTTCCTTTTCTTTTCATTTTCTTATTATTCTTTCCTTTTTTTATTATTTATTATTATTTTCTCTAGTTTTAAATCGGTTATTTTTCTTTAATTTTAAATCAGCGGATTTATTAGATTACGCGAGGATCGCTTAATATTTCTTCGTTTCTCCTTGCTTTATATATATTCGTTTGTAAGTTTTAACTCGAATAAGAAAATCTTCCTGCCGGGAAGCCGAGTCGGATGTGGATAATTCTTCTTTCCGTGCAGTATCATTTGACGGACGTCAAGTCGCAGATGTTGATGGAACTCGATAACAAATTGGCGCAATTGCAAACGCGGCACAATCGTGCGAAAGCGCAAGCGCTCAGGTGGGAGGCGATCGTCTCGAAAATCAAGGAAATCGCCGCCGCTAAGAACTTGGAGCTCACGCAAGTGAAGGCGTGCTGCTGGAACATCTATCAGCAGATTTGCAAGAGAAAAGAGATACCCGTCAAGGTGAGCAGCGAGGACGTGGAGCAGCAGCTGATTCTAATTAAGCGAACTATCCTCGAATTGAGACGGATCATCAAGGTTGCCAAGAGGAAAGCGCGCGAAGAGGGAGATTCGACGTATTAGCGAGTAAAACCGTTCGCTAATTGCTATTCTCTGCGATATCGTGGCCGGAAAATGATGACGAGGTGACCGCGAGAGTGCGATGAAAAGATTATTTTATAATAAGAAGGAAAAATTATCCAGCAAAACATCAACTAACATTATAATAATGTTATAATTTCCCACTTAACAATGCAACTGTTATATACAATGTATGTTATATTAAACTTATATTATTGAACGGGAAATTATAACTGATTGATATAATTTTACTGTTAATTGGAGCTTACTAGATACGCATACTTTCTTGAAGAAAAGAAGAGGAAAAAATATGCAGTCTCTTTTAAAATCTCTTGATTGGATTTAAATAGAAGTAAACAAAAATAAATGAACAAAATTTTGTCTAAAAATATTAAATTGACATGCATGATTTCATTGTACTTTTTTATTGTACATCTTCATTGTAAATTACTCCGTTTACCGATCAATGTTCTTTAGTTTTCACACGCACCGGCTGCTTCGCTCATATTTTATATTCCGACTTTGTAATTCGCTGAAGATGGTCCGAAGAAAGTACCAAGACGTGCAATTTATATAACATAATTAATGACGATTAAATTTAGTCTATGTTTATAATATTCGCCTGAAGTTTGACTCTAAATTGCCCGTTTGTTTACTTTATTTCTTCTATTTAATGACGAATTATTTCGATGTAAATTATACTTCGCAAGAATTTCACACATGAACGAACACGAACGTGACATTAAGCGAAGGTCAGGTTGCGAATCCACATGTGAAAAACGGGGCGCTGAGTTAATTCTCTTTATTGGTAGCGTCTTTGCATAATCTTCCTAGCCGCCGGTAAGTGACAGCCGGATACGTTATGAAGCAGCTCCGCGTAATCGTCCTCGAGTCTTTGTCGCAGTTTCTGCATGGCTTCGGCACGTGTCAGCGGCGCCTCCAGGCCCTCCGATACGAACTGCATCTGCTCCTCTTCCACGCAGCTGCATCGTACAACGACGATGGAGACGTTAAATCAATCAACCGGGATTTGGTTCGGTCCGTTTTTTGTTTTAGATTACAGTTTCAGAGCGGAAGAGAAATCGGGACACGTGAAATATAAAAGGAAAAGTCGAGTGGTCGCGGCCTTCGGGCTAAACGCGCGTTTCCCGAAAATGCCCGTCGACCGCCCGGAAGGGCTCGGGTGAAAGTTCGGACGGAGGATCGCGGGAGGGAAGGGAGGGACTCACAGGGCGCAGGGTTGCGTCGGTACGATTCGAGTAAGAGCCGGCACTTTCAGTCTGGGCTTCCTGCTCTCGTCCAACCGCAATTGCGGTGGCTTGGTGGCCTTGTCCACCCAGTAGATCTTGTGAAACATCTCGGTGATCTGTTTCTCGATAATGCCCAAGTAGAGCATGACGTTGCTCATGGTTACGTGGGTGTTGTCGCCCAGCAGCTCCAAAATCGGCGAGTTGTCGCATCCTATCGACTTGAAGAGGGCGTCGATCCCCTGCAGCAGCTTTTCCATCACGTCGTTGCACTGGAACAAGGTGCTCGAGTAATCGCCTCGTTCCATTTGGCTCCTGAGTCTCTCGCTGAGTCATATCGTGGATGTGTCGAAACGGTTTAACTGTACATTTTTTTTTACCAGGTTCACAAAGCTGACCTGTTTGTAATAACGAGGCGACCTCTGAAGTAAACGGTATCAATTTCCTAATGAGAATTCAAGGTCTATAAAATGTACGGGAAAAAGTCTCAGTTCGTGTAACAGAATGAGGACGACAACTCGGTTAGAGACAGGCGGTAATTTTGTTTTATCGTGCCCGTAAAACATTCGTCTGAAAACTTCGGCTGCGTTAAAACCAGGTTCAGATAACTGCACGGGGAGAATTTCAGTTCCTGAGATTGAATAAGGATGAGAACTCGGTGGTAAGAAATGATATATCCGTTACTGAGAACGTTCGTGTGAACATACAGCTGTATTGAAACTCGGTCGGGACAACCGAGAATAATTGACCGAGTAGAAATCGAGTAGAAAATGTATTATATTTACTGAGAATTACTGAAAAACAAATTCTCCTTACTAGACACGGGATGCATTCGTAGTTTATCAAAAGAACTTTTATGATTGGCCATGCAACGACGCTTTGTTCTACTGTTCATTTGATTTCTGTTCGAGAGAACAGACATTGATAGAATAATAATTAGATGCCTTTAGAGCGAACCTTCGTGAGATCCTCTTCGGCAGTGTCCGCCAACGCGGTCTGTTCCTCCAACTGTTTGGTGATCTTCTCCAAGGTTTCGGCCTGCTCCTGGTCGTGATGCACGTTCTGGACACGCGCCTCGTCGATCGCTGCCGTCAGCTGCTCCATCCTTAACTGAAGGCTCTCGAGTTCGTCGTTCAGCTCGTTCACGTAGCTGAAGAGCGCGAAATTCTCCTCCTCTTGCTTGACGAAGTGCGCGGTGAGCTTGTCGATTTCTTGCTCGCCTGCTCAATACCATTGACTTACGGTTGTGTTAATTACGGCTCAATCTTGTTTGCTCGGCGAAGAAGATCGAGAGCAAAGTCGAAATATCGAATGGAACAGGAAAGATTTAGATAATGAGACGCAAACTGATAAGATAAAGAAAAAAATCGTTGCGAAATTTTCCGATCTAAATTTTTCGCATGTTGGAAGTCAAGACAAGCTTTGGAAACCCATCGATCTAAGATCGCTCGTCCGCGCTTCAACAAAAAACGGAAGTCCTCGAAAGCCGGATTATTCGGTTATCCTAAGCGAGAGTCCATTTTACGCTACCGGTGAATTGCTTGATCGTCTGCAGGATATGCGTAAAGGCCTCTATTTTGTTCTGCTTCTCCTCTCTCTTAGCCTGTCGGTCGGCTTCCTTCTTCGCGTTCAGATCGGCCATCTCGCGATACTGTCCCTTCACGCCGAGGAACTCCTGCAGCTTCATCTCGTTGTCCAAGGTCCTCTTCAGCTCGCACATCTCCGACGTGTGGCTGTTCAGGTCTCGTATTCCCCTGAAGAACGGAAATGTCCTCAGACACACACATATACTCTCTCTCTCTCTCTCACTTTCTTTCTTTCTCTTTCTCTCGCTGTCAGGAAATGATTATATGCGGCCGCATGACGGCCGAATAAATCAAGGTAGAGCCGTCACGATCAGACGGAAATCGCGACCGGCGGAAATTCTATGCGCCATTGGTTTCGCCGACCGTTGCTCTCGCAGCGCCGAGTTTCTAATTCAACGACGACGACGATGACGACGACGATGACGTTTCGGACGTTCGTTACAGGCCGAATACCAATGGGTCTCGCGTCGTTGGCGGAGAACAGCGATCTGAATTATAGCAACAACGATCCGGCGAATGTTTTCATTTTCGCGACTCCTCATCGTCGTCGCAAACCGTAAATATCATTTCGCGTATAAATCGCGATGCCGGAATCAGCCCGATCGATCGTATAAATTGACCGGTGGTTTTACGATCGACGCTCGCCGACGCGGAAAATCCAATGAACGGAGGGGCTCTATATTGACAAAAAAAGGTGATAGAATAAACGAAATTTCACTTAAACGGATAAGATTTTTCTAAGCACAACGTTTAGTCTGTCTAGTTTTGATTTAGTCGTATTTGTACTGATAGAAGTACTCAATTCAGGACCGAAAATCTTCTAAGAATATTATAATATTCTTGCGTATACATGAGAATACCTATCATTGATCCAAGATTATTATTTTTCTGTGTATACTGAGGAAAAACACTTAAAAGTTGATTTCCGGGATATAAGTAATAAAAGGGATACAAGGATCTCAGTGAAAAAGAAATCTTATATCCCGCGTAAAATAAATTTTTATATATTTTTTTCTCAGTGTACACAGCTTGAATTATAGATTTTCAACACCGCCAGTTATTATCGGAACGCAGTCTACGTTAACGCAATATACCCAGCAAACGCAAAGTAACGGTTGTATAAATGTTATTTCCTCCTCAATAAAATAACTGTTACTTAATGCCTGTGTTACATAACAGTTATATTATTGAGCAGGAAATTACAATTAATTTATGTAACCGTTACTTTGTGTTCGCTGGGATATTGCGTCAACGCGTGATTCGTGTTCAGCGGACGCAATATTCCTTTGAGTGAAGGTGACCTCTACAGCTTCGTCGATCCAACTGCTTTTTTAATATCTCTCACCTCTCACGAAGTGCCTGGATCTTATTGAGCTCCTCGTCGCGCTGATTGAACGTGATCGTCGCCTGCTCGATCAGGTCGTTGATGATCTGCTTGCCCGTGTTCAATTGGCCGATCAGCTTGTTCCACATGATTGTGAACTGCGCCCGCTCCTTCAACAGGGTCTCGATCTCGGCGCGCAGCTTCGCGTTCTCCGCTACCACGAGGTTGAACCGTTTCGTGGCCACCTCCACCCGGTTCTCCAGCATGAACACCATCTTACTGTGCCGCACCGCCAGATCCCGCAGCTGCGTGTCACTGCGCACTTTCGATTTCAGGCTGCCGACTTCCTTCGAAAGCTACAACAGAATTCCGGCATGTTGTACAATGTAGCGCTAAGTTGCGGAAGATGAGAGCGTCGTGTTTCCTCGTTCAACGGGGGGAGGGACGATATCTCTGTTCGGCGACGCGCGAACGTGGTCTCCTCTCGTCTATTACCGACAGTCACGATTATTTATGCAATAATCGAGGTCGTGCAATTTTGTTAGATTTGAAATTCAGCGGTAAACATCAGTTATTACTTATGTACGTAGGCTCAACATTGGCAATACCAGCAACCTTGCCGATCTGCTCGTCGAGTTCGGCTATCTGCCGCTTCTCGTTCTCTATCATGTCGATATACTTGGCGCGCTTCTCTAGGAGACACCTCAGTTTCTCGTCCATTTCCGTGTCCTTGCGCGCGAACGACTTCGATTTCGCGGTCTTGATCGCCAGCACGAGCTCGGCCTTCTCGTACTCCAGACGGTCGATCCTGTTCTGCTGATTGCGGAGCTGCAACCTCGCATCCTCCACACAGGTCGCCCGATCGTTCTCCATTATTCTATACTGCCTCTTCAGCCTCGAGAGCTCGGTCTCCGCCATTGTCTCCAGCTCGTCCTGCACCGGTTGCTGCCTGTACGCCATTTTGGAGCCTGAAGGAGACAAACACAGAAGGAAGAGATTCCTTAAAATAATTTCTAACAAAAGAAAATAATAAGATCTATAAGAATAATCTTCACCGTGAATTGTCATCATGACTCGTATATGTGTTAAAAGTAATTTTTCAATTATTCGATACATTAAATATATGGATATATTTAGTATTTATGATTATATATGATTATATACGTATGCTTATGGTTATATATTGATAGTAACGTTTTAGTTACCTCATATAGGTCGTAATATTCAGCGAAAATGATTAAAAATATTGTTTTACGGTATATTTTCTCTATGTTAAAATAAAATTCTTTTCATAGGCACGTATATATAATATTTAGACGAATTCTCTCGCGTGCCACCGTCAAGATCCAGAAATCATCCTATGTACGTACTTTTCACGATAGACTCATAGGAGATGACTTAAAGGAGGAGAATTGTCAGTCTTCCGGAAGACGTGGGCGTCTTCGCGATCGGCGCCGTCGATCATGAAGATTCACGTGAAGGCGGGAAACACTCCAGTCGCGAACTTTGATGACATTCAGCACTGACATTTGAGAAAGACATCTGCCACCCCGTACAGCCGAAGCAGCTGTATGGCGTGGCGTGACTGCTTCTGTTGGTATTTCCGGTTGCCAAGCAATGGCCCAGCGATGTAACATCCGCAGGCTTCCTCGGGTTCCTGCGAGAATCAATCGCAATATATATGCTACCTTTACTTTTCGAATTCACGCGAAGTTTCGAATTGTGTTACATCGCTCGATACAACATATCCATCGTGTAATACCTCTTGGACTTTAACGCGAATGACAGTTCTTCCGGCAAATTTGGAGCCGGAATCGAGAAGCTGCAAAGCGGTGAGATTTTATGTGGATAAAATCGCAAATTGATATTACACGCTGTTAATTAAATTAAATCAATGCCCTAACATTGTTGAGTCGTGTAAAAAAAATTTTGACAGCTCGTCGTTTCCTTCTCAGTAAACATCGACTAACAGTGACATCACATCAATATTATAATTTCTCATTCCACAATGCAAGTTCAATGTAACACGCGTTGTATGTAACAATTACATCGTTGAGTGGGAAATTATAATATCGTTGTAATATTATTGTTCGTCAGTGTTTACTGGATTGTAGTTTATTGCGCGAAGTTAACTTCATATTACAAATATCGAAAGTTCCAGTAGTCGATCTTGATGTTATTTTTTAATGTGACATTCCAATAGCAACTTTGTCGCGATACAATACGAGACGTGCTCGCAAATTGTACGGGGCATCGATCATTCGGGTAAACAACGCGCGATGCGTCACATTCCACTTGTAAATAAGATCAGAGCGCGATTAATGCAGTTGAATTAAACATTCCTGTGGGACCTAAAGTGTCAAACTCGACTTACTTTCTTTATTTGCACATGCTAATTATTTTCCGGCTATCGCGAACAAGTTAAACCTCAGTGACCATCAGGTCGTCGGATTGTTAGCGCTATCACAATTGACAAACGATACAGCGAAAGAGAGCGTAAATCAGCGGCAGAAATAAATCTTAGCGCATTAGATTTATTCGCAATCACCATTAAGCGGGTTAATTTATTTTCACATCGTTCAACTGTACCTTCAGTCATTCGTTGATGTTTGAATTTGAATTGAATTTTCTCTTCTTGCAAAATTGCGCTTTAATCTTCTGACATCTTATTCTCATGAATCAAGATAAGTGACATCATAATCTTGCATTAATGTTTCCTGGTTACATTCTCATATCTCTTTACGGATTTTCTCTAGAAATATGAACGTACGTCTTTGAGACGTAGATCATTTTTACGATCTCTTCTTTTTTCTCTTTTATTTCTCATCCTATCAAAAGAGGACTTATTTATAAAGAAATATATAATTATATAGTAATTATATAATTAATAAATTATAGTAAATATTTTAACTTTCTTTATAAAAATACTATATAGTGTATTTAAAAATGCATATAATAACGAGATATTATTTTTCATTTCTCATATTAAAATATTTTTCGTATGCATAAAAAAATTTATTTCGAACTTTCTTTCATCTTACCAACATTCGGGAGAGAAATGACGAAATTGACACATTCTCAAAATTTTGTATTGTAAACAATTAAACAAAATTCTAATTTATTTATAAAATTTTCAGTTTATATGAATGATAGGCAAGGCTTTAGTTACTCAGAAAAAAAATTGATCATTATTTTTACGTCATCACAAAAATGAGGAAAAATGGACAAACTTTAAGATCGTCATTTACTCCCACCCTCCCCAACCCTTCCTCTGTACATTCTTTTCGCCATTCGGACTATTAGCGCCCTCTGGATATTTTTGAACGATCGATCAGTAATCGATAATAGCGGATAGATCGATCATCGTTTGGCGGAATACGCGCGTCTCCCGTTGTTCGTATTGAATCTCACGGGCGAGGAACGGGTACAGGCTCGATATGTTTGTGTGTGATTCGTAGATTCGGTGAAGTCAGGTGGTTCGACCAGGTGGGTCAAGTGGTGGGGGCACACGCTTGAGGATGCAGACGGGGGAGAGACGTTAGTACACCTCCGGAGGGGAAGGTCGCCAGGTCGATCGGTTCTGCCCGCGCGGGTAACGAACGCGCGCGGCACCTCTCCGAGCATCCGTGATCGCGTCGGTGTCTCTCGTACGTGACTTGTTCGTCGTCGTTTCGACGATAACGCGAGATTCGCCGATAAGATCGACCGTTGGCTTCGGCTCTCACGTTTGCGGGGCTCAACGACGACGATTTCGGCGGACACTCCAGGTACGCTTGGATCGATACACGGTTATTATGGAGCGTGTACGGTAGCGGAAGCGGATATAATTGCTAAGGGGATTATTAGGTGACGCGATGCCGTACGATATCGCGCGAATATCGCTGTTATCGTCAGCCGAAAATCGCACGCGAGGACTCGACTCGTGACTAATTTGCTTTTCTTCTTCTTTCCTTTTCTGTAATTATAAGGCTTCTCTTAATCCCGCTGTACCCACGTTCGTCGAAGAAGACAAACAAAACTCGTAACGTTATTATCGCAAAATTTCCGTGCTCGTGTTTACACGGGCCGACACAAAGAGAGGCGGCCGAGCGAGCGGGCGGTAAGTACGTCGAGCCGAACGAATTACTTTCAACCGTACGGCAATATGGTGGGAGAAGAAGGCGCGCTGGCCGTTCTCGTGGAGCCGCGCGCGCGATTCCGTAATATTTATTTTCCACTCACGGCTAGTGAGTCACTACCTGGCCGACCGTGGCACGGTGAACAGGTAGACTCCGGCGCGAGTCCGTGTGTGCGCGCGCGAGACTGAATTCGCGACCTCTCGTCGCATCCCCGCGCGTGTGCCTTTCAGTGAATTCTTCGAGAGCGGAGGAGGAGGTGCGTCCGCAGGTGTGTGTATGACACAGTGCTTGATTTTTTCATTCTCGAGGAATAAGAAACGCGATCGCGTCGCTGACGTACGCAAGTTTTTTTTACGGCTCGAGCCGGATTCGACTTGTGTAAAAATCTTTGTCAAGAGTGAAAGGGAGAGAGGGATATCGCCGTGCGTGTGTGCCCGCGGTTTCTCGCTCATTGCATTTGATGGAAATTCTCCTCTATTTGAGAGAAATTCCGCGCTTGACGGGCGAAGCCCCGTGAAGACAAAGAGAAACGCGGACCGCCACTTGGTATCGATGGAAAGCCGCCGGGAAAGAGCGGAGGTGCTCACCGAGGGTTCGCCAAGCTCGGGAAATGTGCTCGCGACTTTGTCGTCCCGCGGTCGCCGCGATCGAATTAACGATCAACGTGGACGAGCATGGTCTAGATTCATCCCCTTTATTGGATTTATCCGTTGAGCAGGGTTGAGGGAACATAGGGACATGTAGACATAATGTGAGACGGATAAAAAGAGAGAGAGAGGAAAAGAATAAGCCGCGCCGCTAAGTCGACATTCGAATCGATAAGTGCGAGTTATCGCACGTGCCGTCCATGACCATCGGCTCGAGCATTTATTATTGCCGTTCGAGGATAATACGGCGCAATTGCATCGCACTGCATGCTATTCGTGCAAGCCCGCTTTCGTACATCTTTATATCCGTCGGTCGCAGAAACGCTCTCTCTCTCTCTCTCAGGAACGTCGGAGCTCGCGCGCGCACCACCCACGCTGTGCGCGCCCGGAATCGATTTTCGAGCGGCTCGGGCGCGCTATCGAAATCGACGAGCGCGTGATTAAATCCACCCACGCGGGCCTCGTTCGAGTTCCGGCATTTTCCTCTCGCGCGAACGAAACTCTCTCGACGCGCGAATAGTTGCCGCGTAACTTGTGACGGTGCAGCCCCGAAACGGAAAGAGAAGAGGTGGCGCGTATACTTATCTGGTGTGTCGGAATCGACGTGCTGCAAGTTTTCAGCGATTATAATCGATTTTTTACGCGCGACGACGTTTCGCAAGAAAGGACATACGTCATGCTACGATCGTTCGCGGACTAAACGCGACTGTTTCGCCCGCTGAATAATTAATTGCGCGCACAGGCGATACGAAAATAACGCGTGCGTCATACACAGGCATATTCGAGTGGCGTTCTTGAAAACCGGATATTCCCGAATTCGAATGTTTCATTTAGTAATTTGACGCTCTTGAGGACCGTTTGCATCTAATTTCGATAGTTTGCAGACCAATGAAAGCCTATTCAGACGATACTTATTAACTTTTTTATTGAATCTTTAATTCTACAGATTTAATTTTACTGCTACCTCGAACAACCTATTTTGACAATAAAACAGCGTAAATGGGAAAATTAAGATATCAGGGTCAAAGTGGGGATACAAATTAAATTGTAAGAATTTAAATTGAATATTATTTCGCTATCTTATCTAGGGAAAATATTGTACTAGTAGTTACCACAAAATTTTGTAATACTGGATCATACCGTACTAAAATTACGATGTGGCTTGTAATCTTTAATGACGTATTTCATTGTACACATAACGATTACAACACATATAATAACTTCAATCATAATTCAGGTATGGTCCAGCGTTACAAAATTCTGTGCTAATTTTTACTACGATATTTTCTTCATGCACTGTGTTGTAAAATCACCGGTTTAACCTAAGGCCAAAGTGTCACCTCGGGATGGCATCAAAGTGTCGGGAATCGACATACCGAGACGCGCGTGGCGACGAGCACGACGCTTTGGACGGCGATTAAAAACAAGTCTCTTAATTCTTCTTGCAGAGGCGGTCGGGCGGAGGTTCGTTGGGTGCAGGAATGAGGTATTCGCCGAGAGGATCTGTAATCTGTGCGGCGCCGACATCATAAAGGATACCCGCCTCGTTATATTCGAAGTGAACAGTGCAGTGTCAGAAAGAGAGAGAGAGAGCGCCATATCGATTCTCCTCGCAATCGTCGAAGTGAACGCGCTCATTATTTACGCGAGCAAACGACTACCGCAAACTATCGTTACGTCGTAATTCACGTGATTCCATTCTCGGCTCGACAGCGTGGCGGTACTTGAGAATCATCGATCTTCATGAGCGCCGTGATCTTCTTCCTGCGCGCGGAGAGCTGAGCACTCTCGCTTCGCTCGCGTCCTCGCAGCGTCCAGGGACGTTCGTGGCGAATTATCGAACGTTGTGTCGCAACCGAACGGACTTTCCATCCCGGCCAGACGATTCCGCAAATCGCAGAGTTCGCTGCGACCCGCTTCTTTGTTCGAAACCGCTAGACCGATGTTAGCACACGCGACCGTAAGGCAGCAGTGCGCGGCCTTAGATTCGCGTTGGAGTCGCGAGGTGTAAGAGGAACGGTGTAAGAGGACATTGAGCAGCCGATAGCTCGGCAAACTTCCGCGATCGATATCCTCCGGGGTGCTGCCGGCAAGCGAGGAGAGGTGCATCGGTGCGTTGCACTCGGGCGAGCGCGCCATGAGAGCGTCGTTGTGGCCGGCGTTGCGCTCGTCATCGTCAGACGTGGTGATGGTATCGTCGAGACCGTTGGCACAGCCGGTGTGTCACCTGTGCGATTACGAATGCAATGTCAAGGCTCGCGCGACAGATCGCCTCCGGTAGCGGGCGAGCGCGCTGATCAGGTACGTCGCGCGCGCGCGCTACCGACGAGGAGAACCCGCAGGATCTACCCCGGTGTCCCACGAAGCTGTCGTGTTTCACGCGATCCTGCTCCGTTTTTCAGGCCAACCGAATGAGCGAGGTGAGTCCGTTATGCGTTGTTTATGCCGCCTCTTCCTCGATCGCGTGCTCGTATTCGCGAGGCTTCAAGGCCCCGAAGGCTTTTGGGTCGTGCGCGCACGAGGTCCTCGAGCGAAGTGGGCTGTTAAGTCTCGCCGGACCGGGGCTCCTCGAGGTTTCCGCCGCGACGGAATGGAAGGAAAGTAAGATAATATGGCAAAATTGCATCCACAACGCTCTAAAGAATCACGCGTAATATACGATCGATTAATTATTGAATATACGCGGAAAAAACAATTCCGTCGATGTGACGGAATTTTCCATTGCCTGGAAAAATTCGGCTGTAAGGACCGGAAGATTCTTGTAAGAGGTTTTTACTCAGTCAGTTGTTTCAACCGAGTTTTAATTCAGCTGATTGTTCAAACGAATGTTGTCAGTTACCGTAACAGAGATTTCTCCTTTGTCAGGTTTTTGTTTCTGGTCTCCAAGTTTTCATCTGGTTCCTATTCTGTTGGAACTGAGTTCTTTTTTTTTTCACGTATAGATTCTGGGCTCGTAAAGCTAATTGAGAGCGATGAATGAAATTTAATTTCTTTCCCTTTCTCTTTTATTTTTTTAATGGGGATTTCGCACGTAAAAGATAATATTCGGATGTTTCCAATAGATTACTCTGTTGCGAGAGAAGACATATAGTGAAAATTTATTTAAGATCGGACCAACGGTGTTTCAAAGCGATTTACGCGAGCACCCGATCGAGGCGTGAGGATATTATATTATTTTCCGCATATAGCAAGTATGATGGATACATACACTTTATCTCTGTTTTCTTATCATTAGCATGATAACTCATTTGCGCACGAGTAGGTGTTCGACGAATAATTATTTCTTCATTGCGCGGAATTGCGTGCAATTAAAATCTATATTTAACAGACAAGGAAAAAAGAGAAAAAGTTTACATACGCCGTACTTTCTGGAAGCAGAAAATGATCTAATCAAGAAGTTATTTAATCAAGAAATTATACTCGGTGTATAGGCTCGTCATTAAGTTATTTTACATTTCTATCTCATCCTTACAACACATAATAAATATAATAAAATGTGTAATTAAGAGTGTATTGCCTATTAGTGTCGTATTTTTAACGGCGCATCAAGGGGGCCACTTATAAATTTAGTATTTATCAAGTAAAATTATACTTTTATATATTTATTTCACTATCTAAATATATAAATAATAAATGTTATTTTGAAACGAAGTTGAGATAAACACATATATACATAATATTGTGAATACGAGTATTATTTTTTATTTTTCTTATTAGTGCTATATTTATGTATTAGTTGATTTAATATAGATGATAAAAAAAAGTATATATATATATATATATATGTTTAAATATATGCATATGTATATATATTTGAAATATAAGTTATACATTTTACACCGCTATATTTTGAAAACAAAATGATCAATAATTCTGAAATTTGTGTATAATTTCTGCATATTAATCTTTAATGCCACAGTAGTTTTTCATTAAAATCTTATTTTTATCATTTGGAAAATATTAAAAATAGAAATTAAAAATAGCACGCTAATATCAAGAAATACAGAAAAAATGTCAACTTTAGTTACAAGTATCTCAGCTTGCGAATTATCAATTTTTTCTAATTGCACGAGCAATGAGTTAGATAATATTTCAATGTACAGTGCAAGTTTCATCGAGTTCTTATCAAACTCATTTCACCTTACTACCTACTTCCTGAGCCAGGCTCTGAATTACCGACCAACTTTTGACGTCATTTTTCAAACACATATCAATTTGTAATTTTTTCATAATTTCTTCATTTTTTTGACTCATGGGCAATATATTCTCAAGCATTACCTGATTAGTTCATTTCGTTATATTTAGGTACTTCAGCCCGCGCTTTTTTTGTACATTTCACATCCGTCTCCCAGTTGCTTTCTCCCGTGTGTTTCTCACATCAAGTGCAACGAGAGTGAAAATCCGGAATTAATTGATTTCAGCTAATCAATGGGGCCCGATAGCCAAGCGCTGCCCACCCATTGCGGTTTTACGACGGAGGAGAGTTGAGAGTGACGACGTTACTCACCTTATCATACCGTTGTCCGTGTCGAATGCGTCTGACGTGTGCCGAGTTGTGTTAACCGAGACCGCGTGCACTTTTCCTCCGTTATACTGATCGCAATTCGCGAGTTCGACGCAGAAGTGAAGTGAATCCCGTGCTGGGACCGCGGTGACGATTCGCGATGTTGCCGAAAAAACCGGACAGCCAAACGGAGCCTTACGCTCTGGAAGACATGATATCAGATCTGCAAGCGAGGAGACACTCGATGGACCACGAGGACACCGTGCAGGATCCCGCCGAGTTATTGAAGCAACGCGAGAGGGACCTCGTGTTGGCTGCTGAACTCGGCAAAGCTCTGCTCGAGAGGAATCAGGAACTGACGAAGCAGTCCGAGACCTTAGCCGAGGAGTACTCCGCGAAATTGGAGGTGAGTGTCGTTGACGGTCAGCGTGGGTACGCTCGGCTCATAATAATAATAAGGAAACAATGAAATCAATTATTTTCTGTCGCGTGCGCGCGCGCATGTGCAAGTACAGAGCTTGATAAGCGCAGATAAAAGGGAAACCGATGAGAAAAGATAGCTTATCGTTTTCACGCTCGGCTGGTGAAATATATATATATATATATATATATATAAGCGATTCTTCAACCGCGCGCATTATTAATATGAGTCGACGCTTACGTAATTCTCTGCTCAACGTTTACATAATTAGATGTGAAAAAATAATGGGAAGCACAGGTCGAGTTAGGAGAGCGCGAGATCTAACGAGGCACTTTCATCGGTTGCGATACAGACGCTGAGAGATCGTTTTTGCGAAGAGAAAAATGCATTAGAAAAACGTCTGTAATCGAGAAACTACCTTCTCCCCTCTTTCAGCCTGTGTGCATTTCGTGTTATGTGAGCATTATATATAATTTGCGCTACGCTCGTTCTTACGCACAATCATTGCGGCTACGCAGTTGCAACGAGCGCTCCACTTTCTCGAACGCGTTAATCCTCTTTCCTTCGATTTTATATCTTATTACATTGCTCCATGCTTTGTTATTACGAAACGGACAGAGGTGGGAATGACTCACATGTCTATATAAACATCAGCCGGTCTTTCCGAACCCTATCGCGATCTTTGATTAAGGATATCGTCCCGCCTCGATAACCGCACTTATCACTGCAAACGCTTCTCTCATATGATCGATAAGCCGACACACAATACTTTTAAACGAGATATTGTGCTCGTTAAGTATATTTCTCTATATCACGCTATGTATTTGAACGGAAAATAACTCTTATCATATATATGGAGAGAATTCACAGAGTCTGTTTATTAATGTAACATGCGTGTCGTTCTGAGGAATTAAGTTCATCGTTAGTCCGTAAATGAACGCAAGTAGCATAAGTCAATTAAATTGACCCATAGACGCGTGAACAAACGAATGTTAAGTTTTTGTCTGCGGCACTGACGGTTTCAGAAACTTATCTTCACCACTTACTCTTGGATTTAGCGAAGTAGCGTCAATAACACTGGAGAATCTCAGCTACATAGCGAAAAAACATTTTGTACTTGCGTTAAAATCGATTCTTGTTCAAATTTTTATGTTAAATTTTTAACATATCCGTGTGTTAATTTAACATATTGTGTTTATATTATCTCAATATTTTGTGTTGGGTCGGTATTCAACATGTGTAAGTGTTAATAACACACAAAATAATACATTTTATACTTCATGTTGATTAATATATTAACATATTATGGATGTTAATTTTACGTTAATTTTTGACATGATATTTGTATTATTTTTTAACATAATTACTTTGTATTAAATTAACATAAAACTTTGTATGGACCGTTTGGAATATGTGAAATGTGTTAAATTAATGTAAAATTTTTTGCTGTGTATAAACGGCAGTTGTTTTATTCCTCAAAAGTTACGTGCTCTTTTACAAGTTAATTAGTCGATTGTGACGAAAGAATCGATGATGAAATTTATTGAGTTTACGCGTTGCTGATCGTTGAACGAAAAGTCAACTGTGCCGCCGCGAATGCGTTACCAGACATAGCGAACAGCTTCGAAGACAGCTTCGAAATGTCAAACGACGACTGTGTTGACGTCTGGCTGAAAGTACTTGACGTTTCTCGTTTTCGTAACATCTGTCGAAAGCTGAAGAGTACGGCTCCGATATAAGTGCGAAAAAGACACTCTGACGCGGCTGACCGGAATCTCCCGGAAATTTTCACCTTCGTGTCTAACCGACGCGGTCGCTTTCCAACATTATGCCGGCCGGCTGCGGAAAATTTGCTACCGCGATGTATTCGAGCACGCAGAACTCGCCGATTACATAAGTCGATAACGCGGAACTCAATGCGGGAAAGGTCGGAAACGCATGTCTGCACTTCCACTTGTTCCGTTTGAAGGAGATAAGCGAAGAACACGATACGATCCGGATCTAAGTTGTAGATTTTGGAGGACTAATGATATCAGCAGAATCACGTGTCGTTGGATTGAGCGTCCCTCCAAGATGAAGCTTCCGCACGAAACCTTTACAGAAAAATATTACTGGCTGTGATAAATCGACTTGTGATAAATTACTGAGCGATAATAATCACCGGCCAATTTATCACAGCCAGTGATACTTTTATGCAAGAGAATTGATTCTCTAACTTTCTTGTTAAGTTTTAAAATTGGTTTTTTACATCAAGCATTTCTCTTTGCAAATGTCTCTCATTAATAACAAGTTACCTTCCGCTAACATGTTTTACCATTTTCGCGAGTTATTAAAAATTTCTACAACAGACGTTTCCCACAATTTTCTTTTTCTCTTCAGTGTATTAGCCTGCACAAAAATAAAGTACGGTCCCCTCATCTTACAACTGATTTTATGTTCGGAGTCCTCCATACGCTTTAGTCGTTTCCTCCTTCATTTGTGTCTTTTCGAGAGACGCGAGCCGTCGGGACGCGGCCAAGTGGAACGGTTAGGGTTACCCGCGTTCGCCTCAAATACCAGGTTGTTTATTACCGCCAGGTGTATTGGGATTGTATTGCGCGTGTGTTTCCCGCTGCCGGCAATTCTCTTTTTCGCGAAGAGCGAAACGAGAAGGGAGAAGGAGTGAGAGAGAAAGAGAAAGAGAGAGAGAGAAGAAGAAGGCAACGACGAAAGTCACCGGTGGAAATACGCGTGCGATACCGGGATTTCTCCGCGGATTTCGCCGTAATCGGGCCGCGGGTCTGAATTTCAAATGCATTTTTTTCTCTACTCTTCACGACCGGCGTGGTGCGTTGAAATCGCGATTCGCCAGCACCGTTGAACTTGCCCCTCGGATAATCAACTATTTCTCGACAGTTCTCGCAACGGGCGAGAATACGCGCGTTGTGCTCCGTTGAATTTCAACCCTGGAACAAGAAAAATTCCGAATTTACGCGCCGTTATTCTCTCATCGCTCTGACACACTTACAGACACTTCGATTACAATTCATGTCGCTTATAGCTCCGCTATCTAGTCGCTTCAATTAAATTTCTTTTCTATCGTAGGTAAAACCTGCAATCTCTCTCTCTCCCCCTTTCAAGAGACAACGACTTGCATTCGCCGGCGCGGTTGATTAATAATATTTTTTCTTTTATTAGTGTCGCGGTCCCGGGATCGCGCTCTCTCGAAAGCGCCGGCGAATCGTTAGCGAGCTTACGTTATTTAACCCAGCAGTCTTGATGCAATCGAGCCTCAAGTAATAGCGATAGCGCGGCTGGTTGTTGCGGCTGTGAAGGTTGGCGGTGCACATGAAGGTGGATTTCGTACACGGACGGCGCGAGCGCGCGATTCTAGCGGCGCGACGACGCGGAGAGCCACGAAAGCGTGGAAACAAGCCACTTAGGCAACAACGGCCTCAGAGACAATGCCCGGCACTACGCTCTGCCTGCGTCTGCCTACTCACGTTACCCTATCTTTCCGCGTTTCTGCTTGTCGCCTTATTTTTGACCTCCGTGTCGGAAGGTCCGCGCCCACGCCGACACGTCTTGTCCTCTGCGTGTGACAATAATGAGAAGTCGCGAGGGGTTCGCGACGCGCGAGGGAAACGCGTAGAGAAATATTCTCGATTCGGATTCAATGCAAAAAAATCGGGCGCATTGACGCGCGACGCGATGCGCGCGGCCGATATCAGGGAGTAGTGAAAAGAATGGTGAAAGAATGAAAAAGAGATCGCGAAGTCCGCAATTGTCCCCGTCGCGTGCTGCGCATCCCAGAAGGTAGCCGCGCTTTCTTCCAAATGGCAAAGTACATATGCGACTTCTATCTTATACTTCCGGATATAATTAGTCCCTTTTCTTTTTTTTTTCTTTTTCTTCGTACACAAGCGGAGTCTCGCGAGCCACGGTTCTGCCCAGAGCCGAGAAAGAAAGAAGAAAGCCCCGCGATTTCTCGCCTTTTGAGTCCCCGGCGCTTGTTATCGATCTTATGTCTCGGTTTTACCACGTTATAATTACGGAGGAGTGGAGGGGTTCGGCTACGTTTAAGGATGCATTGCCTATAAGTAAGAAAATAATGAGAAAATTATAATAAAATTAAGAATTGCTCTGCATTACATATAAAAGTGACATCAAAAGTCTGGCAGTAATTCAGAGTCTGGATTAACAGTTATTTCGCTTTAAAGGAAGCTATAAAATTAAATGAGCTTGAATGAGAATTCGGTGAAATTTGTACTACGTATATATTGAAAAAATTTTCTAACTCATTACTCGTGCAATTAGAAGGAGATTGATCAGAGCTGAGATATTTGTAATTAAAGTTGACGTTTTCTATGTGTTTCTTGAGAGATTAGCGCACTATTTTTAATTTCTATTTTTAATATTTTCTAATAATTACTATAGTATTTTAAAGATTAATATGTTGATATTATACACCAATTTCAAAATTACTGACTGATTTGTTTTGAAAATGCAACGGGGGGTAAAATTCATAACTTATAGTAGTGCACGAAATATGTATACATATGCATATATTTAAACATTTATATGCTTCTTTCTATCATCTATGCATCTCTATCAGATCAACGGACGTATAAATACAGCATTAATAAGGCAAATAAAAATAATAATATTTTTGTAACGTTGTGTGCGTGTATGTACCTATCTCAACTTTGTTTCAAATTAAGATTTATTATTTAGATAGCGAAATAAATGTAGAGAAGCGTAATTTCACTCGGTAAATACGAAATTTATGAATGGCCCCTTTGACGCGTCGCTATAAATACGACGCTAATGAGCGATCATCCATCTTTAAATGCGGTTCAGCGGAATGATGTACAACATCTCGTTGCGTCATTCCGCAGGTTTATTATGCACGCGCAGCTGTCCGACGTCACGAGCGTTATCTGTGACGTCTGATGTACGACGGTGTTTACACGTGCCGCGATTGCCGTTTGAAACGCGCGTGCCCG